CTTAACCCTTAACCCTAACCCTAACCCTAACCCTTAACCCTAACCCTAACCCTAACCCTAACCCTTTTTTATAGTGGATAAATTTAATTGCCATAATCAAGATATTATTCCTAATTTTAAGATAGTATATAATTATTAATAAAATATTTTTATAATAAAGAGTTTTAAAACGTTTTTGCTTAAAGATTTTTTAATAAAATAATTTTTTAAATAGTTTAACATTTTTATCTTTTATTTAATTTTTATTATTATTTTTATTTTAAATAGTTTTAAAATTATAAAATTCTTTTTATAATTTATCCTTAAATATATTCTTTTTATTATTAATAATCTCCATAAATTAAACTTTTATATATATAAGAAAAAAGTAATATTTTATTAATTATATATAATATATTTTACTGGAAAAAATACTTATATTATAAATAAAATTAAAAATAAATAATATTAATATATTATTTATATTTATAATAAATTTTTTATTAATATTAAATAATTAAAGGTTGAAATAATAAGTTATAATAATATTATAAAATTAAAAAAATTAATATATTAATTAGTTTTAAATTATATAAATATGAAAAAAAAGGATATTAAAGTTACTTTTTTAATTTCTTTAAAATTATTTTTATTTATATATTAATTATATACGTTTATATAAAATTATTAATATTAATAAAAATATTTTTATAATAAATCTTTTAATATAATTTTATATTTATTATATATAAAATTAATAAAATTTATTACTATAACCTAATTTATTTCTTTAATAATAACGTGTTATACCTTTAAATAATTAAATTTATAATATTTATTATTTAATTAATAAATATAAAAGGATTAATTAAAAACCTTATTATTTCTATTATTTATATAAAATATTAATAATATTAATTTTAATATTATATATATAATAAGGTTTAAAAAAAGGTTTATATTAAATTTATTAATATAATAATATATATTATTTTAAAATAAAAAGTTACAATTTTTTCTTTTTTTTAATTTAATTTCGAAATTTTTATTCGATAAAACATTATAAAAAATCTTTATAATATATACTATAACTATATTTTAAATAAAACGTAACGTTTAATATAATTTTCCAAATTAAATAAAATAAAAAATAAATAATAAATAATTAAAATAAAAAAAATAAAAATAATAAAAAAAAACTATTATATAAACAACAACATTACTTTAAATAAATTAAAAAATTTAAATATTAAGTCGATATTAACAATACTAACCTACATTTCAAACCAATATTAATAAAAATAAACGTTAAAATTTAAACTAATTAAAATAAAAATAAATTTAAAATTAAAATTAAAAAAAATAATTAAATTAAATAAATAAAAAATTAAAAAATAATTTTAAAAAACAAAATTTAAGAAAAAAAATAGAAAATATATAAAAAGAATAATATTTCATTTATAATAACTATTAAATAATTTATAATAATTATTAAAAATAATAATATATATTGTAAAAAAATACGGAAAAAACAACATTTTCTTTTTTAAATCTATAAATATAAATTTATTTAGTGTAGTAAAAAAGTATGTTACTATTTTTTAATAATTTGAAAAAAAAAATATATTAACAATAATATTAAAATTTATATAATTGAATTAAGTAAGGGAAATATAAAAAAAATTTATTTTAGGTTGTAATAAATTTATTAAAAATTTTAAAAATATTAGGATTTATATAATAAAATATTTTAATATTGAATTATTATTATATTTTATTTTAATAAAAAAATAAAATTTTTTAAAATTAATTATTTAAATTTAATAATAATTATTAAAGTAAATATTTAATTATTATAGAAAAAGTATAAGAATTTATTAATAAATATTAATAATATTGTAATTAAAATATTTTATAAATTTATAGTAAAACTTTAAAAATTAATAAAATTATTTAAATTAAAGGTATACAATAATATTAATATTAATAAAAAAAAAAGTTTAAATATGTTAATAAATTAAATTATTATTTTAATATATATAAAATTAAATATATTAAAATAAATGGTATATTAATTAATTAATAAAAATATAATTATTATTAATTTTTTTATTTATATTAAATAATTTTTAATATATTAATTATATTTATTATATTATTAAAATATAAACGTATTTTTAATTAATATAAATTAATAATAATATTATAAAAACAAAATATTAAAATTATAATATTAGAAATTTTTTAATATTTAAAATATTAATATATTAATAATAAAAATAAATTTTGGTAGATTATAAAAAAAATAAAAAGTATATAAATAAAAAAAGTAAAAAAAAACAATAATTTTAAATAAGGTAAATTTATTAAATTTTAATAAATTAAATAATTTAATAATAATTTTAAAAAATTTAAAATATTTAAACAATTTAAAAAAATTTAAGAAATTGTTAATATTAAGATAAGTATTAAGGTTTAAAAAAAAAATTAAATAAATAAAATTATTAATTAATTTAAATTTAAAATAATAATAATTTTTTTAGTATTGGAAAAGGTTTAAAAATAAATATATAAAAAGTAAAGATTTAAAAATGTTAAGGTAAAAAATAAGAAATTAATAAAGTTAATAATTAATAAAATAAAAACTAAAAATAAATATATATAAAATAATAAAGTAAAAGTTAAAGTAATAAAAGTAATAAAAAATATAATAATTAATAAAATAGCTTAAAATTAGTATTAAATATTTAGGTATAAAATAAAGTTATTAATTAATTTAAATTTAAAATAATAATAATTTTTTAATATTAAAATTATTAAAATAAAATATATAAAAAAGAAAATTTATTAAAAAGTTAATAAAATAATAAAAAATTAAGATAATTAATAAAATTTAACGTATTAAAATATATATTAAAACTAATAATAATTATATTTTATAAAATTACGATAATTTTTTAATATTTTAAAAAAAAGGTTAAAAAAAAATATAAAAAATAAGATATAAAAAGGTATAAATAAAAATGGGAAAAAAGAAATAATTATTTATATAAAATATAAAAATAAGTTAAAACTTAATATTAATACATATATTAAATATATATTTATATATATATTAAAATTAATAATAATTATATTTTATAAAATTATAATAATATTTTTAATATTTTATAAAAAAAGGTTATAAAAAAAGATTTAATAAATTATTATAGTAAAATTAAATGGGTATATATATAAACCTTTTTTTTTATTTTGTTTTTTTTAATTAATTATATTATAAAAAAATTTTATTTAAAATTTAATCAATATTACTACTTAAATATTTTAGGCCAAATTTATAATTTAATTAAGTAAGTTTTAATTTATAATATATTTGACTTAGTTTATCTAATCTAAATATATACGGTTATCTAGCCTGATTCGGCTCGTTGGACTTGCTGATATTATGTTGCACTGCCCCACAGGTGGCAGGTGCACCTGCCAAGGCGGTAACCCTTGGCAGAATAGACCCACACTAGTTTAGCCCATTCAAGATAGCTTCAATGGGCAAGTCTTTCCTCATTCATCATCTTGCCCCAAAGGTGGCAACATATTATAATGTCAGATGATAGTAAAGGGTCTTGTGACCTAAACAACTCCTATATGAACCCTTCTAGGGATAATACTTCAACCATTAATTCTACCATGGACCCCATCAGAGAGAATGCGATGCCAGTTCCCTCAACGACAGCTCCCCCAGCAAACCCTCAGGTGATATACATGTCTCGCGCAAAGAAGACCATCAAAGAAAACAAGTCTAATGATAGTTCTCTCATGTACAATGCACCGGTAACAGGAAAAGATGAATGGAAGGACGACGACGTGACAATTGAACAGAACGTCAGCAACCATACTTCTACTATGTTCAACTATCCCCAGCCAGAAGACTTCATGCTCAAAGTAACTACTATCAGGTCTCCACGACCATAACTGGAGAGACGGTTTCACATTTTCCCGGAAAGGGAACGGAGACATAGTGTGTAGGATGGTTCTCATGGGAAGTAGAGTCTAAGACCGGTTATTTCAGCTATAATCCTCTCCATACACACATATGAAGATCACCTTTCCTCATTCTTCTTCAGCTAGACTTTGTTTCCTTACTCATCAGATTTCACGATACATTCAGACGCAGATTATCGTTATCGGTCGCTATATCTTAGGTAGTCTTCTTGACGTGGATATTCTATACAACTCAATCATTATCTACCTTTCCTATCATTTAATATCAGAATTATAACCAACCTGGTTGACATGTGCTTCTAAAATTTTCTATATCAACTATTGCAATGTGTGTAGATTGAATAGTACAAAATAAAACGATACAAGGGTTGGGAGGGTCCAGTGTAGCTCTACAAGTCTCATAACACATTGAAGTTAAGTTGATTGTTAATGTAATGATTATAGGTAAGCTAACACATTTTTAAATAGGAATGCGGTTCCAATTTTATCTTGAAAGGTAGGTACCTAGATATCTAAACCATATACAATCGCTTGTAGTGCTCATTTGTCTAATGCGCTTAGCTGCTCCACGTTCTTATTCATGGCAACAGCCAAAAGACCTATGTCGAGATGGCCTAAAACGTACTTAGCACCTAACACTTGCACCGCATGCTTTGATATATCAGGTCGCGAGTATAGTCCCGCAATACCAAATATCTTGCCCCCCTTTCTTACCGCTGCCGCGATTGTGTCAAGTGCATTATGAAACAGCGAGTGCTCCCATTCGCCCAGTATACCAAGCTCCAAAGATAGGTCGTTAGCGCCGAGAAGTAAGACCTCAACACCTTCGACAGCCGCGATGGCATCGATGTTCTCTAAGCAGGTCTTGGTCTCGACTTGGATTATCACAGTAGACCCTATACTGTTAAGCTGCGGGATAAGATCCTTCGCGGACACCCTTTGAAAATCATACTGCGGCAAGGCTGCCGTGAGGGAACGTTGACCTCTAGGAGGGTACTTAGTCATAGACACGGCCAACTGTGCTTCTTCTACACTCTGTTACTCAGGGCCTCTGCGTTGCACTATCGCGAGGGATATGCATACCAACAGTGCTGATATGCGGGAATACAATACCCATCGCTCCCCCATCCAGAACTCTTTGCACAAACCCACGCCCGCATTCGCGTGGCACGCGCACAAATGGTGTAATTCCGGATAGTAAGGATGTAGAGCATAGCCTACCCATGTCCTCAAGTGTCAGGACTGAATGCTCTAGGTCGATAAAGACAGAGTCGTAACCTGCGGCCTTAGCCAAGAGAATAATCTCATTGGAGGTCACAACTTTCACACCGATCGCCTATAATTTGTCAGTATATTTCGTTATATATATCGAACATGAATGGTTTGGAATATACTTTGCATATTTGGCCTTGACTGATGTTTCTCAGGAGGTTGTTCTGCAGCATTTTATGGGCTATAAAAGAGCGTATGTAATAAAAGTAACAGAGTTCTGCTCGAAAAGCATGTGATATGGTATTAAATATTACATAGTGTAAATCAAATATTAAAACCTGCCATTCTCTCGGTGCCTTCATATTGGCTGAACTTCTAGCCCATACGCACTTAGCTGCCACTTAAATTTCTCGGAATCCACTTCCGGCTCGGAGACCCACTGCCGTTCGGGGATCCACTTCCGTACGTTTATAACCTTACGCATCGTACAATGCAAATACTACCTGGTAATGAAAGATGAGAAATGATACGGTCTTCGATAGTCTGTTTTCATGACATAAGGGTTCATATATTGATTGCACAATGATAAGACAACTTAGGTATACGTCGTATCATCCTTAGTAATCTAACTTTAAGGAGGGATTCTACTAAAGCACTGTGTACCTATCTTTGGCACGCTATGCTACTGTACATATTCGAGCCACTCCAAGTCTTCTATATTGAAATCATATACATCCTCCGTTCTGCTTGAGTTGGTGACTTACATCTCTAGCGGCCCGACTGTGTCATTACTTCTAACCACTGGAGGGGGTGTGTTGGAGATGATGCGTGTTGCAGCTTGTGTTTCCTGAGCCTCGGTTTGTGACCATTGAGTTTCTAGAGCGTTTGAAGAAATGTCCATCTGCTCTTGTACGGAGGTTTCAGGTTCGCAGTTTAGTTGTCTTGGTGCATTTAGAATATCTATCAAGTTGACGAAGGCATGGTTAAGGGATTCTCCATCTTGGGCCATCGTAGCAGCCTTTTCCGCAAACGATATATCATTACTTGAAGGGTTAATACCAGAGAGAATTTCGCCAACGCGTTTCAGCTTAGCTTCGACGGGTATCGCTGCAAGGTTTCCAGAGCGAATCATACATTGAAAAACCTCATTTGCTACATTCATCAAATCGGGTTGTGTGGATCGTGAAAGAATAGCATTACCAACTCTATATGATAACGCTGCTAAGAACGTTATCTCGATGTTGAAGAACAGATACATCTCTTTAGACTTTCGTCAGGGTTAAATAAGCACTATGCGTAGAAGGGGACCTACCGAGTAGGTGCTGCTTGTGAAGCGCAGCAATTATGTTTATGCTAAGAATAGCGGCATTGATGCAAATTCTTATTATCGTGATAATAGATTCCGGGGTTGCTTCCGAACAGCTTCCGAGAAGCTGGTGTGACATAAAGACATTCAAAATAACTGGATGAGCAACTATCATTATATGCTGGGATATTTAGTTAGTTAACATACTACAAGAGGAACTATATACTAACATGGCAATATAACAGATGAACTGTTGCCGTAAGCTTGGACATTGTCCGTAGCGATCGGTCGAATCGGAATTGTGGTATGCTATTTATTTTTTGCCCTAAAGGACGCAGAGACAGAAGCTCCTCCACGATTCTTTCATTCAGCATCAAGTTTTCTGCTCCTCGTATCGAGTGTGTGGGGTGAACTATTGCATATTAGATATCGGAGGATAGCGCATGGGGATCAGCTTGTACTTGTCATCGCCCTCGCTGATCGATAGCCCAGAGACAAATTTATAAGTAGTGCTACGTCGGCAACAGAAGTTTCCTCATTTGATAATAGGTGTTCTACATTCTCTTCAATGGAACAATTAGGGCTTGCGTGTATCATTATGGAAAGTCTTTGGTCCAACACGCAAGCAGTCCACCATAGCCTCTGAGTGATTTGCCGTTCGTTAGGGTTACGCCCGTTAACTAGATTTTCATTTTTATCGAATTGACATGATCGAGCTATTGAGATAGCTTGCGATACCTTCCATGTATCAGCACTTTGGTAGTCTTGCATAAGTACCTACACAAGGTGCGCTTACATAGAGATATGCCGCGATATGTTTATCTGCTGCTTGGGCGTAGATAGCGAGAATGCAAAGTGTTTCGATCGCCAATGGTGGTTCCTGGCAAAGAAAAACACTAGATGGGAGAGCTTTAACACTCTGTATGAATTCTTCAATCCCAGGTGGTCCGAAGCTCGTCGCTCCTCGTTCTAGTAATAGCTTTCCGAGTGCTACTATGGCAAATACATTCGCGTATCGCAGGCTTGGTGTCTTCTCCAACGTCCGAGGTGGCCTATCGATATTATTATAGGACACTGTGTGGTTATAAAATAAACAATTCGAATGGAGGTGGAAGTTGACTATGCCAGTAAGGTAGATGACATAGTCATGTTGGGGTAGACCAAGCGTTGAAGGATAATTTTGACAATCTTCATTGATGGAAAATGTATAGGGAGGTCGTATATTGTCTACCAAGTTATCAGACAGTGTATTGGTTCGAGTTGCGAGAGCCTGGTTCAGTTCTCGACTAAATATATAGCCAGATACATGTTGAGGATTTGCTAGAGATAAGTTAACATTGAAATAAGCATCAAGTAGTTTCTTAGATATTATATATACTGGTCTCTGTGCATCTTGACTCACTGCCGGACACGTTTTGCTCTATATGTTCTCGCCCAATAGCAGATGGTATTTCATTAGCTTCTTGCAAGGAACGAGCACGAAGAGCAGCCCGACGCTCAAGGGCACGTAAGTGTCTTAATGTACATATATATTAGCTTCAAGCAACTCGATAAGGGACAACAAACCTTTCTGAAATCACGATCTTCCTGTCTGCTTCCTCGAAGATACATGACTGATTTCGATTCGTACAATTCACACACGGTGCGGTACCAGAGCATTTGACCTTCCGTTGTTTACATCGACGACAACTTTTCAAAGTTAACAATGGAAGGGCAGGAGCCGAGATGAACAACATACGCATTGACAGCTCTTCTCTTCGTGAGGTCCTCTTCGGGCATTATATCTGGAACTAGGTAATTACCTTATTATCTTCGTCAATTATTGTTCAGGGTAACATTAAGAAGTTTTGCAACTATCGGAGAAAGGAAGTAGAGTTGCCTTCTTGTCACTACCTGTTTACATTCTAGATATTATCGGCCAGATGGTAGTAGGTTGGATATTTACTAGTGTAGTATCAGAAATGGATACCGTAGATAGTTTAACCGATTGCTTTATTAATCGTCAATGGAAATCATGTTTAGCTACCTAGGTACCTTATTGAAGCAAAGGTGAGGCATTTCATATCTCTGAATCTCGCCAGTGTTATACTCGCACATTAGACAATGTCTGACTCTTCTTAGATATACATCATAACTCGGGCGATTACAAATCATGTTTTCATATTGTTTTATCATGACTGGTAATATTGAGGAATGGCTACATACGCACCTTCGGTGTTATACCTAATAGAAGAAGGGATGGACTCGGAGCCCCACAGCCGCAGCTGCAGTGAACAGACATATCTCAGACTATCCTATAGATCAGGTACTCATGGAATAAGTTCTGTCTACCTAAGTTTATGTATTCAAGGTAGAGTTCATGTGCTCGCAGTCCCTGAATGATCAACATAGACTTTCAACATGTTAAGAGTCGTGGCTCTTGATACGTTCGATCCCGAAGGTTCAAAATACATGCGGGAAGTATTCCCTGATGTCATTGAACCCGAAAATCCATCTCACTCGTCATGGCCTAATTATGCTGTCGGTGTATTCGTCGCAAAGAGTAGAGTTACGGCAGACTTAATACACCAAACGAAAAAACTGAAATTTATTGTCCGACATGGAACTGGGTATGATAATATCGATGTAGAGGCATGCGAGAAGAAAGGGATCATTTTATGCAACCTTCCAGGAATCAGTGTATATGTGTTTGTCCCCAGATATCCATATTCAACTTGCTTACTCCTCTTAGGCTATGAGCGTCGCGGAAGTGTCTTTAGCGCTCGTAGGTGCCTGCTCAAAGAATCTTATAGAATTATCAAGGCAGATGAGGGAAGGGGAAAGATTGAATAAGAAATTCAAAAGTCTCTATTCAGTCACGTTACTTACAGGGAAGACTTTTGGGATCATTGGCGGCGGAAGAATCGGCCAGCTTGCGGCGAAGAAGTTGTGAGTTCATTCGCCGGCATATCGAACATGTATTAACTTCTCGGCAGTATCGGCGCCTACGATGGGAAGATAATATTGTAGGCCGCCTGACCCTTTCCATAGTATATCATTCATAGTTATAGGTATGACCCTTACATTCTACTCGACGGGTCGACCCCTTGGGACTCTATCCCCCACGATCGAGCTGCATCGGTTCAAGAAATGGCCCCGCTCGTCGATGTATTGTCCCTCCATGTCCCCCTTCTTCCGACGACGAGGAACCTGATTACGCTTCCGTTATTAAAGACGATGAAACGCACTGCAATACTCATCAACGTTGCACGCGGCAGTGTGGTTAACGAAGAAGACTTATGGATAGCGCTCAGGGAGAATATAATTGCATCCGCGGGGGTGGACGCCTGGGTAAGCGAACCGCCTACTAGGGAAGTTTATGGTGATGTTTTGGATCTACAAAACCTAGTGATGAGTCCACATATAGGTGGTTCTCCAGCAGAAGTGCAAACAGCGACTTGTATAAGTATGGTTGATCATATGAAAGAGCTGATCGATGGAAGACCTCCTAGGGATAGAGTAGTATAGTAGACGAGTCGGCCTAGTAGTTATGGTAGTAAGTTACAGACCAATATTATTAAGGACTGTCTTACGCCCTTGAAAATTTTAGCAGAACTTCCTAAGATCGAGCAATGTTCAATTCTTTCCTATACCATTCCTGCAAGGACCTTACATCCGCACTCATAACTATCAGATCAAATCTTTCTTTTGCCTTTTTCGCCGCCTCTCCATCCACTGACAGTATACCAACTTTCTTCCTATATCTCTTCGCACTCGCGACAACATTATTGATAGCCTCGAGTAAGGCGGTATCTGTAAAATTCGCAGGCGTGTATCCGAGGAGAGAGAGGGAAAGATCATTTGGTCCGATGAACAAGAGATCTTTGCGTGTCTATTAGTATTCGTACAAATAGGGGGGGGGCTCTCTTACGACTTACCAATACCTTCTACTTGAGCAATTTCGTCGACGTTTTCTACGGCCGAGACTGTCTCAATTTGGACCATCGTAATAATGTTTTGATTGGCCTTCGCGATATATTCGGAGGGCGTCTTCAACCCGTGTTCCAGGCAAGCAAAGGGCGAACCTTGACCCCTTATGCCAGCTGGAGGAAACTTGGCTAGTTTTACCACCAGCTCAGCGTCTTTAGCCGTGTTAATCATAGGTACCATGATGCCGCTATCCGTGATTGTAAGCTCCTTTCATAGATATATAATTACATGAAAAACTTAAGGATTACTCACTGAGCACCAGTGTCCAGAGCTCTCTTAATTAACTTTCCATCTAGACTTGGTATGCGGACGACGGGTGAGACGCCAGACCCAGAGACAGCAGCAACCATATCGTGCATATCAGCATCGCCTATATTACCTATACAATGTTAGGCCAGACATCCCCTTATAATTAGTAACTTATTATGACTCCGTCCTAGTTACAGACCATGCTCGCAATCGATTACCACGGCCTGTAATGGGTTATTAGCCGGTCACTACATGATGGGATTCTACTTGCGTCCACGCCTGTATGAGCAATTATCTGCGCCGCTCTCACTCCTTTAAGAGTCATGAATGTTGCAATAGCTACATGGTCTTTTTCGAGAATGTTTCTTAGCCGAAGTTTTGGGTTAAGAGAAGCTTCCATCATGGCGGTTTAACTAATTCAATTCCAATATTCGATTAGACAAGACTGAGTGCATCCAACTTTCATGGCAACATAGAGTCCCGGTATTCATATGGTTAAAATGTAATCAATCTACCTTACCTTAGCAATCTATGTACTAAGGCCACAACTCGACTTACCTATACTGCGACATAAATTAGATTCTTCCAAAGTCTCGTTGTTCGGCTAACATACTACGATTCGGATGCCCACTGCCGAGACTCGTCAGTCCTGTCGTTTCATTTTCCCCCTTATTTTCGGCGAACCAAAGCCGAAGGTATAGGGAGCAGGGAAGGGGCTTAGCGGTAACCTTTTCCGCAACATTCAACATCATACTCACTCTTCTGGCTTACCAATACCTCTGAACACTTATCACAGTCCTCTGGCGAACGCCGCGACATATACTATTGTCGCAGATCTACTCTCCTATCTTGGTCAAGTCATCATTTTATTACGACGCAGGTATATTGGCTTTGACCTAGTAGCATCTATCGACTATATTCTTTTAAGATAAGTAGGTATTTAACAGGAGCTGTCTTAAAGCTTATCATACCAGGTATGGACTTTAGTAATTTCAACGAAATGAAATCATTCGCGATGACGTGAAAATTGGACATCAATTGATTGCCCACGATAAAAAGGTTACGTCATAGGTCGGGTATGTACCTCTTGCCCTCACCGGGATATAGTATCCCCGATATTTCGTTAAACTTTTACCTAAAGTCTTGGCCGCAGATTTCGCGTCGTCGCGCTTATTCATAAACTTTCATGAGATAAAATTATAACAATCCATCGTGATTTATCCATACGGTTTAAGAGAGAAACACGGTCACAATCTTGCCTGCTCCCCTGCCGAGATTTTATCGGCTGTTTCATCCGCGACGGCTTGTATAAACGCTGCTTGAACGTCATGTTCGTGAATCCAACTGGGATCCACGCGGTTCTTTATACGAGTCCTTAATTGCTCGTCTGTCTCCAGCTCCCTAGCTTGTGAGTATCGAGCCACCTTGTTCTTATTATTCTGGTGGACAACACTCATTACGCGATCTGTGTGTGGTTTTCGGGTCTTCTCATAGATACGTAGGGCTTTGAGAATTTCTGCGTCGTTGGGCTTTTTAGTCGCGTTCTCGGGGAACACGTATAAGATCGACGATACGAACGTCCATGCATCATCGAGGGCGAGGCTACCTCCTGCTGCAAATGCGCCTCCGTGGGCGTGAGCTGCATCGCCGGCTAGGGTAACCTTTCCGCCACCTAATACCCACGTTTCGAGTGGGTGTGCTGCCGCATTTGGATAAATCCTCGTGCTGGGCACTGCGTCGACAATCTGTCGCACAAGTGGTGACCAGTCCTTGTAAAAGTCCCTCAATGTGTCAACGTCGCCATCTGAGTTCCAGGTCGAATCCTTGTATGCGGCATCCGGGGCGTCGGGGTCGGCCTGGTACGATCCAACTACGGTAAAAAGGTCTCTTCCGAGCTTTGAGATGAAGAATGTTCGGTCCGGTCCCCAGAAGTGGTTCGCTTCGTCCGGAAGATCCTTGATGTTGGCGACATGAGAATAGGGAAACACAGACCGGAAAGCTACCCAACCAGTCCAAGCTGTACTAGAGGTAGGTACGAAGAAAGTTCTAACAGGTGAATGAATTCCATCCGCGCCTAGAATTATATCAGCCGTAGCGGTCGTACCGTCCGCGAACGTAATTACCAACTTTTGGATAGTTTGGTCGAAAGTGACGGATTCGAAAGCCTTAGAGAAGTGAATCCTAGACGGGTCAACGTGTTTAGCAAGCGCTTCCTGGAGATGTGCCCGATAAAAACGAGCGGTCAAGTGACGGTACTCGACTTCGCCAGCGTGGGAATCAGTTGATATTATCTCATTAGTCTTCCAATGACTACGCTCTGTTAGCTACTAATTCTAAAAGACTGGGGCGTGCGAGCTCACCGGTAGATCATAGGATACTTTGACTTGTTACGGAAAGCAATTTCGTCATCTAGAGCGTTGTCGACGCCTAGTCGTTCCAGAGTTCTCATTCCATTAGGCCCAAGAGCGATAGACGCGCCTATCTCTCTAAGTTCTGGAGCTTTTTCGTAGACCTGCACGTCAATGGCGGGGTGATGCTTCAGTCCGATAGCTGCACCAAGACCAGCAATGCCAGCGCCGATGATTGCGATCTGAAGTTTCGATTCGTCTGCCATAGTTTAACAATATACGTCGAAAAAACAGAATTATGATGAATTTCCGTACATTATAGTACAGCCGGAGTCAGCTTCTTAACCTTTGACCATCGGGACGGGGTCGGCATTGCGTGATCAACTATACGGGTCCGAGATGGCGCAAGACAAGACTGGTATTGCGAAGCGATATCTTATCAATCAGCGACCGCATTCCCCCCTCATGGCCTCGCCGCTTCGGGAAACCTCCGAGAACTATCCATGCAAAGCGTGTCGCGATTCTTGCAGCAGGCTTAACTAGCGTATGTTAACCATTGCCATAAGACCTCGATCAAGCACTCCCCGTTAACAAGGATATAATTCGTCATTTGCGTGGGGGTTGACGAGTGCTACGCGGTTGAAGTTATATCCTAACAAGAAATTTTGATTTATATTTACCTCCTAGGTAAGTTTGATCTAGACATGTGTTATCTAGTCGCCGTTTGGTATTCATTTTGTTTCCTGAGTCGCATACCATGACGTCCAAGACTGTCGAGCAGACGTCCTCAGCTGAGGTTGTTTTGGAGACCCCGAAACTGCCTGACAAGTATGCCGACGAAAGCTATAAGCTCTTCTCGCAAGTCAAGGTTGAGCCTCCCACTGCTGAGGAGGCTGCGCAAATCCGTAAGAAGAGCGTCCGATGGATATTATCGTTCCTCTGCGTCGGGTATCACCTGATGTACGTTGACAAGCAGACAGTAAGAATTTCGGTTTCCTGTTTCCTATATTAGGATACAAGTCTACGAATCTAACATTACTTTTCTCTACATTAGCTCGGGAGTTCGTCTATCCTCGGGATTCTTGAAGACGCGAATCTAAATTCCAATCAATATAACTGGTTGTCATCAATCTTCTATTTTGGCTACCTGCTAGCAGAATGGCCTCAAAATTGGGCGCTGCAACGATTCCCAGTTGCAAAATGGTTAGCCGGGAATCTCGTCGTTTGGTAAACTAATTCTAAATCATGCTGGTTGACGTCTTGCTAATCCTAATAGGGGTTCCATCTTGCTATTACATATTCCATGCAATAGTTTCGCGTCTCTCTTCGTCGTTCGTTTCTTCCTCGGGCTGGCGGAGGCATGCATTGTGCCTGCTTTCTTATTGACGCTATCAATGTTCTTCACATACGATGAGCAAGCAGTTCTGATGCCCATAATGTGGGCTGCGGGTAATTCTAGCCCTATAACTTCAGGATTGCTATCATACGGAGTTTTATGGATAGACACGGGTAGTTTTTCATCCTGGAAGTGGTTTATGGGTAGGCCTCTCACCGCCACTTCTCGAATTATCTAACATGTTTTCTATAGTCATCACGGGAAGCTTAACTATTATATACGGCGTTTTCGTCTGGTTTTTCTTCCCGGACAATCCGATGTCCGCCCACTTCCTGACCCTCGAAGAGAGAGCACAGGCCATCCTCCGCATTGCTTCGAACCATTCGGGCATCGAGCAGAAGCGTTTCAAACGCCACCAGCTGGTCGAAGCGCTAAGGGACCCCAAGACCTGGCTCTTCTTCCTCCATGCGTGGTCCCAAGAAATGGCCAACGGTTTAACTAACCAGTACTCACTTATCATCAGATCATTTGGCTTCACCACGCTACAGACCACGTTGTTAGGTTGTATTAACGGTCTTACTTCACTGGTATCTCTTGGAGCTGCCGCTCTAATATTGTCAAAGACGCGCAACAGTCGAGCGTGGCTGTCTGCTGCTGCGTATGTACCACCCATTATCTCTAGTATACTTCTTATTACTCTTCCTTGGAGCAACCGTTGGGGTCTGCTGTCGGCAATATGGATTAGATCCACAGGAGGTATTCCCTACAGCGTGGTTATGATCTGGGCAGCCAACTGCTCCGCAGGACATACGAAGAAGACCGCTGTCATCGCTCTGTATCATGTCGGGTATGGCTTGGGCAATATTCTCTCACCTCAGTTGTTCCAAGAACAATACAAGCCTAGATATATTGTGACTTGGTGGGTTATTCTATGGGTCGCGTGCGTGCTTCCCACGTTTATCGTCCTTTACCTTCGATGGTATTTAGTTAAGGAGAATAAACGGAGGGACTTGCTAGATAAACGCGGGGCTATTAGAGAAGTCGGTGTCATTGAGCATATTGACGAGAGCGGCGAGCGGCGAGAAGAGATAGTCGACGCGAGACAGTTAGATCTGACTGATAGGGAAAATCTCGCATTGTCAGTTGTCCCATGCCCCCTTTATTTTGCATATACTAACAAGTACACAGTCGATACGTCCTCTAATGTGGAAATATTCATAGAGTATTTGCTATTTGGTAGGATACATATCGTATCCACTACCTACCTCTCAGATATCATTTATCTATCGTTAGATAATTCCCCGCAGTCGGCGAGAGGTATCTTGATCTTGCAGCCCTGTCTGGCCACATTTCGCGCCTCAATTCTTTTCTACTTGATCAACCCGTATAAGGTTCCCACGACTCTTTCTCATTAGAGACAAAAATGATCACCATGAAAATGCGATGAATATATAGATATAATTTATAAGACTTCACCTAATACCCAAAAGATTAGTCGAAGGTGATCATTGTAATCAATATCTTTCAATGTTATTCGTGCTCAATCATCAACAGATATATCAAATCTCCATTACAAGAAAATTATATCCTAACTCATATTGTTACCTATCTCCCTATTAATATGATTCGGCGCCATAGTATTATAATAATTGAACCCTACATACTAAGTGCTTTCTTTTAATTGACACTGTCCAACTTTTATTCGCTTCCACTTCATGGTCTCATATGGAGCTTATTCGGGGCAACTCATCAATTACCATTTTAGTCAGACATGTTTTCAATCCAATGTCAAACCACGGCACCTTCAATCCTTACTCCACGGTCTAAGAATGAACAGAGGCCTTAAACCGGCGACGAAGCGTACGTTGGCGCGCTAGTCAAGAGTATCTTAACCAAAAAAACACATGATCGCAGTGCTGATCTCCCCATCGCATTGATCTGTATGGCCTCCCATGTCCGTTGGCACGCCTATGGAGAAATGGTAGTTGATGTGTAGAGAACCGAAAGCCTAAGATAGAAACGCAATACGGGACGGGTGATAGTAACTTTTTCATCTTGGAGCTATAGGCTATTATAATCGCATGATATTACCGAAACTTAGGACGAGAACAACGGTTATCATAATTTGGGTCGAGTTCAATGTGTAATTAAGACTCTGCTACGTTACCCGCTAGAGTCTCTCCATAGATCTACAAGTTGAATTTAATACCTACGGATGTATTTGAATCCGATCTATCGAAATGTTTCATATAGCCTTGAATGCTTTAATATCATAGTTAATTGCCCATCACCATCTGCTTAGAGTTTATCGGCATTCACTGTTTGAAAATCGCAGAATCAGTTGTAGGTGTCTATTATCTATTTATATTAATTATAATCCAATATATATAAATTTATATAACCATGTATCTAACAGCGCAAGGCCTATCGATCCTAGCATAGTAGCAATCACCCTCTTGAGATGTTATGGGTTCAACTATCCCATTTAGTTTCTTTAGACTGGTCCAGGCACACCACCACTAGCCGCCCAGATGTTTCCGCTCGTATATGTCTCCAAGGGGTCGGCTAGATTGACGTATATCGGGGCCAACTCACCCGGCTGCTCTATACGACCATATGGATTTGATGCGGCAACCTGAGCGATTGCCTCCGCCGTAAAGCCGGCACTGGCTAAGAAAGGGGTATATATCAGGGCTGGGGCAACGCCGTTCACCCTGATTCCCCGGGGGGCGAGCTGCGCTGAGAGGCTGCGGATCATGTAACTAATGGCAGCCTTGCTCGAGCCATAATCTATCGCGGTGCTACTTGGTGAGTTGACGATATCAGAAGTAGTGAAGATTATACTACCGCCTCGAGGCAGTATAGGCACGGCCGCGCGGGCTAGGAAGAAATTCGCGAAGACGTTGGTACGGTAGATCCGCTCGAGTTGTTCGGTGGATTGGTTCGTGATAGGTTGCCATTTCGAGCCCGAGAGGATCCCAGAGTATCTAGCTGCCAGTCAGTCAAACCGATATGCCCTATGGTTAGCTCTTTAACTAACGCTGCATTTTGAACCATAATATCAATCCCTCCAAGACGATTCGCCGCCTCGTGAACCACCTCAGTGCAGAAAGTCTCGTTAAGTAGGTCTCCAGGAATGCGCTCGAATGATAATCCTTCGCCGCTCAGGAAATCAGCAAGGTCATCCACGTCAGGCTCTTCCTCTGGAAGATAGTTGATAGCTACATTAGCTCCCTCGCGGAGATATGCGATGACGACTGATCTTCCAACTCCCGAGTCTCCGCCCGTTATTAAAGCTTTAAGACCTTGAAGGCGGCCTGTTCCTCTGTAGCTATCCTCGCCGCAGTCTGGGCGTACATCGAAGCTAGTCTGGAGGATAGGGAAACCTTGAGCGGGCGGTGATAAATTCATATCTTTGAAGCGGTTGACGGGATCTATTAGTTCAACATTTTGTTCTGTACGTTATATATTAGCTTTATCTCCCAGTATATCACTTTGCAAAATTATATTCATACGCTGAGATAATCCTGTACTTAGAAAGCCCATTAACAAGGGCAATGAAGAAATGAAGCGCATTCTGGTGAAGGTAAGACCTATGTTAACCGGGTGTTTATAGACTATGAATGACAAGAATATAGGAGTAGAAATAGGTGCTCAGCTTCTGCCTTTAACTCTATCTCGATGTTTCAGTCTGAGAATGTTCAAGCATGCTCTTAGACATATTTAACCATAAATCAGGTAAGTAACAAGCTACTTTATTAATCGTCACGTCTCGGAGATAACTATTTCGTTCGTCTTGAAAGACGCGAATGGTAGTTCCCCATTTTTCCCGATCTGGCCTTGTCGGTCACGATATCGCTCTACATCTAGACTCCTTATACGGATCGTAGCGTCATCCTGCGTATTCATCACGTACGATTCAAATCGTAGCGGTTTTCTGCAATTTTTCTACCTCATTATTCCGACAGCTGTAACTTTCCTTGGTTGACAATCCCCTAACTGGTTATATGGCCCTTACAGCTTTCTTGATGTGTTCAATACATATATTATCCAGGTTCCGTCTATACAGTAGCGATATATATTATTGTACATGGTACACGAGTCTTGATTTCTTCCAAGGCCCTTGGTAATATGATTCTCCACTCAATAACGACAACCCAGCATTCAATAGAAGCAGCATGAACCCCGTATGGTACTCAGAAATTGCATAGACAATTGGTTTAAACTAATCAAACCCAAGGAGATAGTTTTTGAGGTTACTTGGCACTTGAACGAATCGAGTATCTCGCACGGCCTTAAAGTCCAAAATCCGACTTGCTTGGCAGAGGGGCGGCGTATTCTACAATACCTATGGTGTCGGGGATGGGAGAAAACTTGATAATCCCGATTATGATAGGATGGGTGTAAGTCACAGATAGTTAATTCCGAGCCTAGGTTGGATTATACATCTTATATGATATTATGCCCTTGGGAACCTTAAGAGTACCTATGGTTTTATCAATGCCGTAGTATTTATTTCCATTTTTTATAGCTATGATTTTTATGATGGATTCATGTTTAGTCCGTCTAAATAAATTCAAGAGAATTTTTTAAGTTAGCAATTCTTTTTTTTTTCGTGGTTTTCAGTCTACAATTTAATGCTCTTAGCTATCAATTATCATATAATATCATTCTTCGTTCACCAAGACCAGATAAACAACGGAGAGTGAGGTTAAAATAGTTCGCTGCAATTATTATTGTGTTAAGTTAATATTACCATATCCTTTACTTCGAGATAACCCAATCTCCACGCATGAGTACCCTTTAGTTACCGTTAAATCCCCGGTTCGTTACTATCATTTCATGAATCCAGCCTTTCCATCCCCATCTGAATCTGTCATAGGATTCAACTTGCTCAAGAGGCTCGGATGCTCTTTGGTAGTCCCTGTAGTCCCGGTAGTCCCCGTTGTTCCTGTAGTTCCCGTAGTTCTGGAAGCGCTGGAGTAGTGCTCTGTTTCCAGATTACCCGATGTTCCCCTAGCAGTATCGCGATATTCCCTCTGGGCAGAAGACTGGCTAGACATTCCTGTGCCTACACCTGCAGCCGTGCCTACACCCGCACCTGTATTTTTGGTAGAAGTTCGACCAGTCTTTGACCCGCCAGACACTTGGTGGTCTCGGCCTCCATCCAGGGGATCGAAATCTCCGTGGAAAACACCATCCGGGGGGTTTTTAAGACCGTTACCCTTCTCGTGCATGGTCTCGAGAGTTCCTCGGATAGTCTTTGGCTCGCCTTCGAAAGCATCAAAGCGTTCCTTTTCCCCAGCTAACGCGCCTCCGCGTTGTCGGTATTCTTCTGCGCTGACCGGAGGCAAAGAGGTTGTAGAGTGGTGCTGAGCAGGGTTATGGTGAGTCTCATGAATTGGTACCGTGGTATGAACTACACTAGGCTGAATTGTTTCTTTATGAAGCACAGGCTGTACTGTCTCGTGGACATGACTTTTAAAGGTGTTAGCTTTACACTACAAATCGACTGCTCGGTTAAGAGGACTTACTGGTGCACATGCTCGCCTTGGACTGTAGGGGCATGACTTTGGGTGTGTTTAGTATCCTGGACGACTTGTTCATCTCTGAACTTTTCATTCTCAGCTGCCAATGCCTTCTTTGTAGTGTCGTGGTCCCTGTGGTCATAGTCTCGATGTTGGACCGCCCCGATTTTGTGCTGGTGCTGCTCGGGGAGAATCTCTTGATCGTGAACTGGCTGTACGGTACGGTGATAATGATCTTGATGGATTTCCTTGTTCACAGCGGTGTTGACCTCCTCATGTTCCCTTGGCTTGATGGTCTCCTTCTTAACGGCTGGCTCAACCGACTCGTGTACGGTAGTATCATGGTGACCAGACTTGCCGATAAAGTCACGGATTACTTCCTTAGTCTTATTCATATTGAATAGATTTATAGTAGATGTTGAATATAGATGAAAGATGTTAGATAGAAGAAAGCTGTTGAATGAAGAAGAATTAAACGATGTAACATTGCTGAAAAGAAGGTTTATATAACGAGATAAATAAGTGATCGACGTAATAGAAAGCAAGCTAGACTCCAGAATCGCCGTCAACATTCATTCTTAGTTGGGAGTTACCGAATTAGGCCATTACCTACCAGAGTATCCAATCACATCAATGCGGCTGAATCGGACGGGGTGAGTGGATTCGGCGAAGTGGAGGAATGTACGTCAAAGATCCAATACTACACGCAGGCATATGATTATGACAAGTGGAAGTAGACGATAGTAGCTTGGACTGTTGCTAATCCGTTGACAATAATGACGTCTTGCATTCTCAGCATATCCGGATGCAGGGCTATCTTTTCTTCAGCGAGTAACTATCTTCGCGGCGGGTTTACTTAAGTCGAGACGGCTACATTCTAGTGCTAAGTGAGAGTTAAATTCCTTGGTTCTCGCGAATTAGAGTCTTAGAAATGCTTTGACTGACTCGGCAATGTCGTAATCGATCTTAGCTTGAACTATCATGAACTCCAGGCTCTGAACTACTTTACCTCAAAGTAAATCAATAAGCTCGTCACATAGCCTTTATTAGATGCGGCTTTACGGTGGCCTCTAGGGTGAGCTCGAAGACCTACGTGCTGAGTGTAAAGAATTTCCATCCAAAGTTCCTATGCCAACCAGCTAGCATTCCTAAATTGTAGTAAGACCCCATAGACACTACCTACACGGTGACGTTTAAACCTACGAATTACCCACTTGCCATGACGGATTGAGAGAGGATGTTATGATCCACGCATTTCCTTCTAGCCTACCAAATACAGGCTTTCATAGATATTTCACAAATCTTTAATACCAACTTACAGCAGTACCTAGATTAGCTCTAAGAAAATAACTGCATTTTCATTTTTGGCGAATTAAACAGATCCTAAAACAATTGATATTGCCCGAGGAGGTACCGGGATTTTTATTTCATTACTTCTACTCACGAATCTATTCCTCGTACAATGCGTCGACTTAAGGCTCTGCTTAGGAGACGAAGTTACGATGAGAAAACCCCGGTCCCCCCCGAGAGGAATACGGCGAGGCTATCGGACGCCCGACGAAGCCTCGGATCTTCTGGGGTTCAATCGACTATAAAAGGGGATCGACATATCACCGGTCTTAATGTGTCAAGGTGTAATGAGAACCCGGTTGAGCAGGAAACTAACGAACACAAGAGTTCCAATTCTCAACATCCAGCAAATATGAATACAACTAGTCCCGTAGTACAAACGGACCCACGAACGTCGATTGAGAAAATCTCGGAGCGTCAGAGAAATGTGTTGGTAAAGAATCCTAAGAGAGATGTGCCTCGGAAAGATATGCCTGGGCATTTTCACTCTGATAAACTAGCCAGCACTGAAGAGCAACCAAAGGAATTGCCAACAGAAACACAGCACAATAAAGACGGACAGTTAGCTCCATCTACGAGGGAACCGGACCGTCCCGTAGAGATACTTAACAAGGAGGATAATGCTACTCGACCGAAAGAAGGTAGTGGTGCAGAGGGTGAAAAGACCATCATAGACCTCAAGGATACCGTGGATACCGATGAGACTATTACTTATGCTCCAGGTGAGTCCGGCCCGCAGTAATAACTCTGGAAAATCTAGTTAGCTAAACATATCTGCTAGCGGTTACGCACGAAATCATTCAGCCACAAGTGCACGAGATTCTGGAAGAACAGATATACCGCGAGATCCACAATCATGACGTATACCATCGAATCCAACCTGTTTATGAGGTTGAGATCCTTCCTGCCCGTCATTTTGTCCCCGGACCCAACGGTGGCCTGGTTGAAGTACCCGAGGATTCTATCCCAGAGTGTACAGGTGAGAATCAAAAATGGCACGTTAGCAACAGACCGGCTCGCGATGCGTCGTTACCAGATACTCTACGTCAGCCAGAGTCTATAGTTGAAAATAACGCTATTCGCGAGCCTGAGCCTGAGCCTATTGATAAAGAAGCTGAAAAGGGGGACGATCTCGAGCTTACGAAGACCCAAACCACCATCGACAACCAAGAATTCAAAGACGTGTACTCTGATAGCTGGCAATCTAGTGCTGCTCGCATATTCTAGAAAGCCATTTGGAAATTTCAGTATGATATTAGCGAGTCGATGAGAAGCAATTGAAACTTGTAGTTTTGTTTTTTTAAAGTCTCTCATGCTCCCCTCGCTTGGTGCCCATTTAGGGTTCTGCCGATTCAGTCGGTCCCGGATGATATCAAACCGGCTGCATTATTATTACTTTCTTACGTTACTATTGCTGTCAGCCCATTGCGGCAACAACATGCGCCGTGATTCCCGACCTAGGTAAGACATCGGAATCCATGACGACTGAAATCCTAGTCGAATAAATACATACATAGCAAACCGTAATCTTCTATCGACCACGAGATCTCATCGCGAACCTTGTCTGCCACTAATATGTATTAGCCCGCTATGCAGACAACTGAAATTGACCAACCATGGTACGTCGCCACCGTCGAAACCATCAACCTCTCAGCGACGACGACGTACTTATTTCCCTACTTTCCTACATAATCAGATATGCAAGACCGGCGGACAGGTCCGAATGGAGTTGCGGGAATCAGCCCACATGAGCGGAACAGACGTCCGAAATGTTACGAGTTACGGACTGCCCAATCTCGAATCGCTAAATTGGAACTTGCATACGTGATTGTTCGGGAAGGATTCAAAAGGATCCAGAGCGTTGAAGATCACCCGTGCCGCCACCCTTGCTTGACCTTGGCTTGACTGCAGGGCTAGCGTCTATGTATTTGGAGCAAATATACTAGGATCTTTGTTGCATAGGAAGCTTGTTTTTTTTCTCTGAGACTTTTAGGATATTTGGAGTTGGAAATTATAAATTACGAATGGCCTCGAATGCGGTCTTATTACACGTCTTGTGTTACTGCATGAGTGCTACAGTTTGAGATGGAACGATGTATGTATGCTAGTGCTTGCGAATCGTATATTCAACTTTCTGACTTGCCGTCTTGCCGCCTACTGTCTTAACCTCAAAGAGGATCTAAGGAGCGAGATAATGTTTTCTTCAGATAACATATTTATAAAAACATCACAGCACTTTGTCTATATACAGACGCTATCGGTCGGCAATGCTCAGCGCTGCGAATATATATGATCTGTCGGTATAGATTACGTATCTAACTCAACCGTAACAGATTGTAAGCCGGATGGGTGGTAAGTGCAGACAGATAGGGCTCTGGTAATTGAGACTGTAAATAAAGAGTTGGGGGCTGTTAAATTGCCGTGAAAGCCTCGAACTAACTGTCTTTAATTGTAAGAGCGAATGAATGTCGAGTACGACTAGATTTCATATCGATTTATGTATAAACCTGGTCTCGATCTGATTAGGTTGATTAGGTTGATTAGGAATGTCGTCGATGCAGTATAAAAAGCCGTGGCACGGTCTCATAGTTACTGTGGCATTAATATGCATTACACAGCGTCGCGCCCCCAAGCCATGACCACTCCCGGCAGTCCTTGGTTACCGGGCTGAACCCGATATCTTGTGCAACCTCGCTGCGATATTGAATATTATCATCGTTCGCCAAGTCAGCTTACTCATTCTGGTGCAACCTGTTCAAACGCCCGATAAGCCACTCGTGATAGAGAAGTCTGTAATTGATGTTCACCGCATTTCGATTCTCAGACCGTCATATATAATGTAATATACTTGGACAAATTTTTATTTATCGAACATATAAGACTGACCGTTTTTATATGTTTCAAGTAAGCTGAGACTTACCTACGTATAACGGTCGTACATGGATAATCTTGAAAATAATATATCGCAGCGGAAGTATTTTGGCCGGTATTACCCCAACCAAGCATAGCGACGGGCAGTACTGGTCAAGATTTCCCACAAATCTGAATCTGACATCTGACTGTGTAGCAACGATTGTGCCTGATAGATCTTGCTTTAGTATTCGGCTTCGACATTTGTCTCGTTGGGGGAGGAGGGGGTGTGAGCGTTAGCATATCTTTCCTGCCCTATGGCGGCCGCAGTTATATGCAGGCTCGTGTCCTTGCCTAACATTCGCCTCTTGCATACTGCGCAAGCACACGCACGCCCTGCAGGCTACGAGTTCTGGACTATTCCGAAGTCCGTCCCATTTACATAGATTACCGGTTGGAGGGCGTAGATAGCCATGCATGTCTTGCATATATTCGTCTTAAACGAGAGTGGGTGAGGGGACTCGGTCCAGACTCGAAGTTAGCTTCCTCAAGGGGACCAGAGCCGACCCATGAGCTGGAGGGGAAAAAAAAGAAGAAAAAAAGAAAGAAAAAACGCCTTTAGATCCCGTGACGTCGACCGATTCCGAGCGGTTGGAAGAACCATTGCTTTCCAATGCTACGGATCGAGGAGATTTGGTGCAACATGATGAGAAATACATACATTTCTACGAAAGACCCACAGACTCCGGTAGTCATATTCTATACCGGTATAAGAGAAGAGACTATCTATTAGGCTGTCGCTTCATTCACTAACCTTTTCTCAGTCGTCAAGTCTTTACATCTTACGGATACGCTTAATTCGACTATCTCACTATCTCCTCATAGGTATCTGTACTAGTCTGCATTTTCGTAGCCGGTACTACGCCACTCTGACCGGTATGTAGAGCTTATTATCGTATCCCTGTGTAGGTACATATTATCAGCTTTTATCGCTCAGGCTAGCGTCTAGATATCCCAAGATGCTGGGTTTATTATTATTTGCCAGTATGAATCGATTTGTTGGTGGCAACTCCATCTTCTGTTCTTGGTTCGCTCCGATCACCAATATAACGGTTCCTAAGAAGTTGAAACTTGTTAAGGACTGCTATTTCATGGACACATTCATTTAGCGCTCTAACTAATGCAGCGGGTAACCTGACAAGTCTGGGCGAAGTCACGTTACGTTGGCAAAAGATCTAAGGTCTAGTTGCGGCTCCTACTAGACTCTCCGCGCTTCGCTTAAAAGTTAGGGTGTGGGTATGCGGAAGAAATCATCACGGCTAACCTCTTATGTATGCTCCTATTCGGATCAACTCCACATTCCAACTGCTAAATATTCCAGTAGTAGAAGATATGGGTATCCGCTCTTCTAGCCGGTGTCGACTGAGAGCGCGGACGGGAAGTGTCTCGGAATCGGTCTAGCCCGGGAGGTTGAGATCGGAAATGGATAACCAGAAATTGTGATGTAGTCATCCTCATTGACTATCGGGATCTGGAGAAGGTACATAGCGATGAGCCCGCTATTTGTCGTCTCCGTAAAGTAGCCTTTTATTTTTTAAAACTAGTTTAACCTTATAATAATTTCTGCCGATGACGTCTCGGTATAGTTATCGTCATCTGATAGGAATCTTATGAATCTTAGTGTTGGTGTTGTGAAATAGAATTCGTTTTGTTGTTTTTAAAGTCTAGTGACAGTGTAGGTAATATCTGCGAAAACGACGAAGAAAACAACTCATGGAAAACTCGAAGCTTCGTTAATGTTCTAAAGGCCGAACTATTTCCAAATATGTGAGAACCGGGCTTGGAACGGGTTACCCAGCGTAGGATAACTCGTCGCGAAGCATGTCGGAGGCACATGCTAAAAGATAGACTAGGCTTGACTGGGTATTTCGATTGTTCGATCGTTCACTGGTTGGCGTAAGGATTGGCGGGACCAACATAGTATCCCGGACCGAAGAACATGGGGCGGACATGCGGACTGTATGTAGCCTTGATAACGTCTAATAATAAATGACCGACGTGCTTATAGGGCAACGATAGTCGTTTGCGATACTATCTAAGAGGAAACGTCGTTCATCGATTTCAGTCATTTTTTAGGATTGAGCGATTACTTCACAAATGCTACATTGAAATTTTAAAGAAACCACGGAGCAATCAAATAATAGGAGTTGTTTGTATAAAACAATGGATAATGACGAGGAGACGCTATCATGACTACAAGGATTAGAATCCTAGCATAAAAAAAAAAAACCAGACAAAAAGCTTGACTTGACAGCTCGAGTAATTCCAATAGTTCCAACGAAGTCGGTTCGAGTTAGTGGGCCATTCGGTGAGGTCACGGTCACGCCAAGATCTCTCGACTTTGTCGTCGTCGAACTAACTCTGCTAACTCTAGCTCGCGATTCCGCGCGTGCCAAGGTCATTTATCCATGTTGCGGCGACTTTTCAAAGAGAAACGGGAAAGCCGCCGCGTCGGCAGAGGAGGGACCAATTCGCAAGCGTATCGCAGAAGCACCGATGTGGCGTTTGCCTAGACTTACTAGACTTAAATACGGTTAGGAATCAAGCAAGCGCAAGGACTAGGAAAGATGACTAGCCCCTGAATCCTCGCCATTCGCAGCAAGCTAGACAACTTATGCCTGTTCGTAATGACGTATAATGGCAATGGTTGACGGGCACTAAGTTGTAAAGAAGCTTAGCGCCGCTATCCCGAGGCTTGTCTTTTCGCCGCAAAAATCTTTTTTTTTAATCGTCTATATCGTTGTCGTTCTTAGTGGCGTCTCGAAAATGCGTATGTATTCCGGGCTTTTTTGTCCATTGATTTTCTACGCCCTAGTAATCCCGGGCAAAATATTTAAGGACAGGTGACGATGTGGATTCTCGTGACTTCAGCTCCGCCGGTCCTCACCTTGGTCCACACCTAGCCCCAGAACTACCTACCACAGTACTGTGTTAGGTACTTAAGTTATCTAAGTAGAAACAAGGCCGAGAGGTCGGGAGGTCAAGAAATAGGAAATATTATCGAACAGGCCTAACCCCACGTAATAAGTCGGCAGTTTGCTATTAGGTAGCAAACGTGTCGGTTCCATGTACGCAACTAGAAGAAGTCTCTCGCGTTCGAATTGGTTACCGAAATATAGTAGCGAGGTCCAATGGCGCCCTCCTTTTCGCGGAGGGTCGTGTCGCCATGTATGCCCTTTACATAGGCACGCAAGTCAAGACGGGATCGCGGAATTCTGCGGTGTTTTTTCGTGGAGTCGTGTGCAACCGGTGCAACCCAACCATCTGACTTTTTTATGGGCTCTCGTGGGATTTTATGGGTTTTGATGGATTTTAATGGGCCTATGCGCGGTAGTCGACAGGCAAGACAGGCCAGACCAGGCAGGCCGAAGCAACCGTGGACAGGGCGGTAATCGATGAAACAAGGGTATAAAAGATTGTGTGCTTTAAGCTATTCCGTACCCACCGATGAATTCATCTCTTAACGTAGGCTGCGTAGCCAGGTAGCAGCTAGGTAGTAGCAGGTAAATAGGCGAGAAGTTCCCAGTAGCTACGCAAGCTACGCAAGCTACGTTAGGGTATCAAGCGAGAAGCGGTGATGAGACTCCCCGTACGACTCCCCAAGTTTTACCCCCAAGGTCTCCCCATATTGAGTACTCCCCTCCTATGACATCAGATGGTAATCTCGTTGGTGAGGCTCATGGCTGACTCCGTCATTCTCACTTTGTTTGCGAGTTCCTATTGTCTAGTATCGGTCATCTGCGATTTCGAGTTTCTTTGTGCCCGCTTCGGTAAAGCTGTATGCGTAAATGCGTACATTTTAAAAAAATGCGTGATGGAGGGTAAGATTAAATTGATAGTAAGAAGGTACATGATACATATAATACATACATCCTTATTCGAATGGAAGAAAAGGTATGTACCTTAAGAAGGAAAGAAAGATACATCAATTATATGGGACGTACCTACATAATTCGGAATAGGATATGTACATTGTTATGTACATAGTACATTATTTAAGAGGTACACGTGCAGCTGATTCTTCTGTGTACCAAAACTTACAATTTTTTGGCTTTCTTGTCCCTGTGTCCCCCATCTTCTTTCCCCATCCCCCCCCCATTTTTCCCCAACTGCTTTTCCACAAAAAGAACCAAACAATCAAAGGGGGAAATGAATAAAACATGAATTATTTCCCGCATTCCCCAGAGAAAAAAAAATATGTCAAAAATCACAAGAGGCGTGTGCCTCGGGCTGCATAGACATGGGGTCGTCTGACATGAATCCTACATCCGGTTGACCCCAAGGGGGAGCCCCGGATTTGCCAGCTCCCCTCATCCAACGTTTCCAATCCAACATTTCCAACGTACCTTACCAACGTAATGGACATCTCGTCTTGTCGGATTTGTCCCGATTTCCCTCGGTTGAAAGCAAGCCACCGGCCTGCCAGACGAAGGAAACATTGAGCAGCCCAACCTGCAGACCCTGCAGCCGAATGCTGTCGTCATACCTATGAACGCGGGTCGAAGGGTTAAAGTTACTCTCGAGTTGCCTATTTTCTTTGCTTAGAAGCCCAATTCCAAATTTCCAATTTCCCCTTCCACCCGATTGCTCGCTGCGAATTGTATGCGAGTTCCTCCATTTCGACCAATTCGCTGCTTTCGAACCTGTCTTATCCCTGTCCTGATTCGTAGCGTAGTCCTGGTAACATCGTCTACGGGAGAGGAACGTGCAGGGTCCAGTAGTTCCAGCTCTAAATGCGGTAGTCGATGAAGTAGCGCCGACGACTTTTCTACTACTACTACTACTACTACTACTACTACCTACTATTATTATTATTACATATTATCATGTACCTTATTCCTTTATGTTTCTAGGTCGTTCGTCACTGCTATACAAACTATCTAACCTATAATATGGCAAGATAGACGACCCCGAGATACGTCCACTGTCATCGGCTAGATACATGTACCTTACTTACATGTATATTAACTACATGTACTACGTGCATGTACCGTGATACATCAACTACATCATGTATGTACGTGTAGATGACAGAGTCAAGTATACATTTTTCAAGTATACATTACCCATTACCCATGTCTCCACATATCTAACGTACATCAGCATCCGCAAGTGTGGACTGACCGACTACAAGGAAGTAATAAGTAAGGTAGTAGGTAAGGTAGCAGGTATGATACAAGCAAAGAAGCTGACTGCTACTGCCTCATTGTTACTGGACTGGCCTCCGAGATCCTTGATGACTTCCCACTTTTGTTTGCGGTTTCCGTCGCTCTCTTTTACCTCCATGTCAGGTCCTGGTTCTCTCTATCAGTCTCGCCTTCTCTAAGCCTTTATTCGCTTAGTCTCTTTTTAGGTTGTATACTTTATACTTTATACCTTTATACTTCATACCTCATACCTCATACGTACATGTATCTTGGCTATTTGTTATTGCCTTTTAATAATCTCCACGCCCACTCCCATGTCCATGTCCATGTCCATGCCCACGCAGTCTCCTCGTGTATATATATACTAGAGACTATCCCCAGACCGGCGTGCGCGTTGTTCGAAGGTCTTGTTTCTCTTCAGCCTTTTGTCTCGGGGCCAAACTCTGCCGCTTAAGCCACCCACATCATACCTCCTCTCCTCCATACCGTACATCTCCCCGATCTACTTTTGTTTATTATATCCTTCCTCCCTTCCTTCCCTTCCTACTGGGTCTGGGTGGTCCCGGTAGAGTGTTTCTCATTGCGGGGACATACCCTCCAGCTCAGTGGTTCAACGTCTTAACCCTTCGTTAAATACCCATCTGCTGTAGCGTGTCTTTGTCCATCAAGCAGCCATGGAGGGCGCCTCGAAAGAGTGGCCTGCCACGTTCGGGCCTAATAACGAGCGTCCGACTTACAGCTCTGAAGAGACTGTTGGTCACGTCAACGGTGGTCGTACGGTTGTGGGCCCGACTGTCGACCAGACCCTCGCCGAAAAAGTTGCCGAGAAGGAAAAGGTCAAGACGGAAACCGGAAAGCGAGAATTAAAGGAAGAAGACTGCGAGAGTGAACTTGGCTTTGCTTTCTCTTGGTGGAAGAAGTGGTGGATTCTCACCGTCATCTTCCTCGTCCAGACTTCGATGAACTTTAACACCTCTCTATACTCAAACGGCCTCGAAGGAATCTCGGAGGAATTCAACGTTAGCAAGCAAGCCGCTCGTCTTGGTGCAGCTATCTTCCTCATCACCTACGCTTTTGGCTGTGAGTTATGGGCTCCTTGGTCTGAAGAGTTCGGCCGGAAGCCTATCCTACAGGCTTCTATGTTTCTCGTCAATATTTTCACCCTACCGGTCGCTCTAGCTCCCAACTTTGGCTGCCTACTAGCCGGGAGAGCCCTCGGAGGTCTTTCTACCGCTGGAGGAAGTGTGACGCTAGGTATGGTGGCCGATATGTTCGAAAGCGACAGACAACAATATGCCGTGGCTTATATGTAAGTTTTCCGTTCGTTTGATGTTTGAAATATTAGATGGCGTTCTTCTTAGAACATCTAGTTCAATATGGAGACTCGGTGTAAATGGTATACATTCTGACTTCAATCCGTTTATAGTGTCTTCTCTTCCGTCGGCGGATCTATTCTCGGACCCATCGTAGGTGGTTTCGTAGAGACCCTTCCCCCGCATCAGGCGTGGCGGTGGTGTACCTGGATCCAGCTGATCTTCGGCGGGGCTGTGCAACTATTGCATCTCTTCACGGTACCTGAGACACGCACGACAATCATGCTGAACAAGATTGCCAAGAAGCGTCGAGAGAGTGGCGAGGACCCTAACGTTTACGGCCCCGATGAGATTGAATCTTTCTGGAGTCGATTCACGTTGAAGGAACTCATTTACACCTGGCTCCGCCCCTTCCGCATGTTCCTAACTGAGCCTATCGTGTTGACGCTGTCGCTACTCTCTGGTTTCTCGGACGCCCTAATCTTCATGCAGATCCAGTCATTCGCTCTGGTTTATCAGCGCTGGAACTTCAACTCCTGGCAGATCGGTCTCGCCTTTGTTCCTATTGGTCTCGGTTATGTATTCGGTTGGCTTCTTTTCCTGCCGGCTTTCAAGCGAAATCAAAGGCGTCGCGAAAAACATCCCGAAGACGAGCATGCCCAGTACGAGTCTCGTCTTTCTCTTCTGCTCTGGCTCGTCCCATGCTTGCCAATCGGTCTCATCATATTTGCCTGGACGAGCGGTGGTCCGCCGCTACACTGGATCGGCTCTATGTTTGGCACGTGCATAATAGGCATTGCCAACTACGCCATCTACATGGCTACAATTGACTACATGATCTGCGCGTACGGACCTTACTCTGCCTCGGCGACTGGTGGCAACGGTTGGGCGCGTGACTTCTTGGCTGGTGTCCTCACCCTCCCGGCGACTCCCTTCTATACCAACATCGGTGCCGAGAAGGGTCTGAACCTGCAGTACGCATCAACAATCCTCTTCTGTATCGCATTCGTTTTGGTTATTGCCGTATACGTCATCTACTGGAAGGGTCCGACACTGCGTAAGCGCTCGCCTTTCGCTCAGAGCTTGGCTCAAGGTGCTGCCCAATTCGGCGGCCACGCTCTTAGTCACGTCCACTCCCATCGCCCGTCGACAGCAGGAGGTGAAACACGACCGCAGACGTCGACAACCCATTCTCGGCCCACAACCGCACCAAACGCGCCGACTCTGGAAACCATGCAAAAGCGACCTGGTGACCGCATGTCGGCATCGCGACACAATTCCTACTACTCGAGTGCACAGGCTGCAAGCCGACGCCAGAGCCGACAGGCCAGCCGCAACCCTAGCAGACGAAACAGTAACGACCATCATCGAATGTCCGAGGATAGTGAGGAGGAAGGAATTTCTCACCATCATCTCCACCACCGACTCCAGAACCTCAACACTATCGCTTCGTTACCGACACAACCAACAGAGCCCCGGCCGTAGGGCAAAGTCAACTGATATTACCATATTCCACCAACTCATGATGATATGGAAAACGCTTGGAAGAAGATACTACTACAACGCGTCGGGGTGAATTGGACTGTATATGTAAATATAACACTAACTTAAAACATATACAGCAGCACGAAGGGCGGAACGGCGGTAGAGATGTGCTATACTATGTCTCTAGCAGAGAGTCGAGCGCAGCAGATGGGCTCTTCTGTCTTTATATTACCCCAAGGCACCGAGGTTTTTTCTCAAGCGGTCTGCCGGGACTGAAACGTCGGGATGGCATTCCATTGGGCGTTTGTGTGAGGTTTTTTTCTTCTTCACTGTTCCAAGGAGTGCTCGTCTGCTGGAGTCGGTTTAGCTTCCGTCGGTTCTGATTGGTAGAACAGGGCGTTGAACAGGAGGGTTTCCATATCTACTACTACATTGATGAATGAAAGAGCCCATTTATTTATTAAAAGAAACTTGATTAGTTATGTATCTACCTTTGTATCGTTTCGTAATTGCCGACTATGTGTGCTTGCTGTGCTGTGTGCAGATACGCACAACACGGCAAGTAACTTGTGATTATCATTGCCGGCCGAGTCCTAGATCTGAAACGCAACGTTGTCCAAGTTCCACTCGCAACCTGTTACTGTTGTTTAAAATTACTTGATATGAGTTGATTACAGAAGCATGCATAAATAAAAGCCATATAGCTATCCCATGCGTTTTGTCCACTTTCTTCCTTTGTCTTCTCAATCCTCTTCACAGACATCAGGATACGTGATAATGGCGCATGATACCTACCTACCTACTTTAGATGTAAGAGATGGATGGAGTGTAGATCTGCAGTAGATGAAATTTCTGTTCATCGAGATCCATATTGGGTGTTACTAAACATCAAATTTAATGATACCTACTTACCTATACTACTACACTACCTACCTCACATGGTTGTATCCGCATCATGTATCCCGTATCATAAGTAATGCCTACAATGACAAGATAATAACAATGGTTACGACAGGCAATTTCACAAAAGGAGGGCCTACGCAAAATTAATGTAGCAGTGTATATCTATTACCATCAACTCATACGCGTAAGTTCATCTAGTCTTATAATTATACGTTTTATATAGCCGTATAAACAGTGTTCAAAGCCTTGCGCTGGCTCTCCAGTTTGATACCTTTGACGAAGTGCCGCCGAAATTGTGAAGTCGTTCCCCCATAAGGTACGCCTCGTCCCGAATCCGAACCTGCCAACCTTCGAATACGCGTAGCATGCGCCGCATCAAAACGAGTCCCGTCCAGAAGAGTGCAGTAGATGGATAGGCGAGGCGGAATATTAAGACTCGCATTTCCTGAGTCACTTCTGTATTGATATCTAGGATGTGGTGAAGGGTTACCCACGCCATGATCGGAGGCGTCGTGATCATGGCTAGCGATGCTACGACGCCGGGAATGACAAACGCCCGTGTAAAGATACCAACATCGGGCTCTAGCCAGCCGCGACGCAGAACGGCTCGTACGGCATGCGCCGGCCTGCCACCGTACAGCGTCACAGCCCGGGAACCGAGTTTGAGGTATAGGATACCCAAGGTCCAAGCTTGAATTACCCGGATAGTGTGACCCTCTCGCAAACCCTCAAATCGCCTCGTAGTGGTTGTTCCGGCTGGATACATGTATGTATGCAGCGGCATGAGTAGATAGAGCTCTACTAGCAGCGTAATAAGGAGGGGAAACACGATAAGCAAGACTGTATAAGTATATACTAGCCGGGACGCGCGAGTCGCGAATTGGATGGCGCGCTGGATTGTCTGACGGTCTAGCATCGAATCTAGCACAGATGATGTTAAAATTCTTAGTTTATTGAGCATTGACCGTAGGTGAAAGACGAAGTAGCTCAGTGAGCCGAGAATGTAGACTCCAATGCTGAACGCATAGATATCGTTAGTTCGTATGTGAGAAGGTATAAGGACCTTAAACATGCGCCGACCAAACACGAGGGGTACAATCGTGAAGCCGACTCCAGTAACAGCCGCGAAGATCCATATGGATAAGATGAACAGGAAGATACGACCACGAAAGTAGGGAGGAACGTATACAAATTGGTAATGAGTTCCCGAGTATAGGTCTGTATCCGGACGGTCTGGCTTGCCGTCTTCCCTCCTATCCTCTTCTGATACATCAAGGAAAACCGACTGGCCCTTTGGAATTTTAACCTGATCAGACGCTGGCGATCTCACAAAGCGGCCGTCTGGAATGAGTTGCCCCGAGTTCACAAGCTTCCCCTTCTTATCGTTGTGAACATCCATCTCCTCGGCAGGAATTTTCGTAGAAGGTTTCGCCTTACCTCCCTTGAACGTGTCTTGCCACGTTTTCGGGACCACTTCAGTTTCGCTATTGACTTCGAGGAACATTCGACACCACCAGGGAAGTTTTCGATAAGGCGAGCCTTCGGGTAACACTAACGTACCCTCCTCATCTACGCGTCGCTCGCCGAAGAGGAACCATGTCAGCCGCAGGGCTCTGGCGCACTTTCGGAACCACCAAGTATACATGGCGTGAAGCCCGTCGCTCGGCCTGAAGAACTTAACAGCAAGAGGCATCAGGAAGTTGTAAAAGAGCAGGTCGATAGGGAATTCAAGGACAGGCTCGTTAGAAGAGTAATGGATCGGAAGGACGTTAGGCAAAGTTAGGGATAAGCCCCACACGACACCTCCGAGACAAACTACGACTAACGCTCCATAAACGAAAGCCGAGAAGAGTATCTTGCGGAGCTGGGTAGTGACATTGCGTTCGAGGACGTCGCGCACCGGATGAAACTCCGGGTCGTCCGGATCGCGGATGAAGTCTGGTTCTAATTAGCAAAAGTGCCTGGATGGCCAGTAGCTCGAATCAAGGGTTTCTTACATAGGACGCCTTTTCGCATAATCTTACGGCACATAGAAACGAAGAGAGCGAAATGAAACATGTATCCCGTGCCGACGAACCAGTGGACAAAGATGGAAGTGAGCGGATAATTGTAGGTAAACAAAAGACGAGATCTGATGCTTGTGCCTTCGAAGAGGGGAAGTAGCGCGAAATCTAGCAGCAATCCGCAGTATAATGGAAAAATTAGCATTTCTATACTGATGATCAAGATCACCTTCATGACGCCGCTAGCCTGATTTAGGAGGTCGATAACAGATGCTTCCCATTCTTGAGCGGCCTGCCCCGTAGAAAACGGCGTTCCTCTGGCGAGATAGAACCCGGCTAAGACTGACAGAGAGACATATCCAGCAAGAATAGCCCATGTCCTATCGTTCGCATCCCAATAAGCAAGAACGGGATTTGCAGAGGATGGCGGTTCAGAAAGACTAAGATTTAACATCCATGACCCTGGCTGCGTGGCGATGGCGGGAAGAGCTTTCAGGAGTTGAAATGTTGCAGGCACCAGGACGGAAATTATAGACTTGGCCGTAGCCAACTTGGCAATGTAGTCGCCACCAAAAACATACAAAATGATATGTCCGACAGATGAGAGAGCGCACCGGATCTCGCTTTTTATCATCATGAGGGCCTCGTGGCTGACAGCGGAGAAGTTACGCACCTCGCTAACTGAGATGAGTGGAATCTCAGACATGAAACTAGAGAGAACCCGTTCTGAGGCACTGACGGCAACGTGAGTAGTATCAACTCTGAGAGTATGTATCAGCTGCTCTCCCTGTTCGATTTTCAGGAGTATAGTGAATGCTTCGATTAGGGTGAATATAATCGTCGAGGTATAACCAACAGCCAGCAGGACAACGTCTTGGACGAACTTGGACGCGCTGAAAACGATTCTGAGCAGACGGGTCGGATGTGCGACGACCCAGACAGATACGCGACCGACGTTATATGGGACAAATATGCACATGAAGATAGAAATAGATACCAGAAAGGCGCAGAAGATGGCGTTTTGAAATAGGCCTGTGATCGGACCGCGCATACCAATTAACTCCATGATTCCTTCGAAATCTTCGGCATCTTCGACGGCTTCCGGATCGAGACCAGCAGCAACGGCGGCTTCTACGACATCCGGAGCCATCTCAATCTCATCTTCGCCTTCTCCGTCAATTCCACGATCGTTGTCGAAGAATGGCGCGTTCTGATTCACACCGAAAATATCCACAGCTTCTTCTGGTTCAATTTCATCTAAATGACCAACGTCTACGTCGCCCCACATGAAATCGGCTACACGATCCACAATGCTACCGGCTTGTCTCGCCGCGACGACAGCGGGCTCGTTACCATGAACCGGTTCGACTAAGGCAGTAGAATCCCTAGCATGGCCATCTCCCGCGGGATCTTGTACATTGATTTCATCAATCATCATGTCTTCCACAGTCGCTGGCGTGTTCAATCCTGCTTGGAGAGGTACAGTTGTCTGTTGTGATTGGTCAATAGCGGTGCCATCGTCAGCAGGTCTACTTCCTTCTGATAGCCCGGCTCTATTGATATCGCTATTAACATCTGAAGATATTGGTGAAGAACGTAAGGCTGAATTGCCGTGGCCAGGTACATTCTCATGAGAAGCATTCGACGGGCCGGAGGGTAGATCGGAAAATGACCAATTATTATTTGCAAGCCTATTGATAGGTTTGGGGGCCTGAGGGCCATCAGAAACAGCTCTTGGTCTCGTTAAGAGCGGTATATCCGAAGACGACGCATTTTCGCTACTGCTGTTACCATTAGGCAAGTAAGGAGTATTCTCGCCAAATTCACCTCCCCAAGACGCCCAGGAATCTGTCCAGGAATCGCTTCCATTTCCGGACGTCTCAGCGACCTTGCCTTTTCCTTTATCGTGGGAACTCTGGCTTGCTACAGCGTCGCCGTCATCATTTTCTGCCCACGTCCAACTCGAGTTATCGCTACTAGTCGCATCAGCTCTGGGCGAGTCTGACCTTGTAGGGGACCGGCTTGAGCGCCGTTCCTGGTGAGTTAAAATTGAGCTTCCAATGCCATTTCCTAGATCGAAACTACTTCCGTCAGCAGCCCTGCCAGCAGTCGCCATTGATTGTGTTACGCGGATCCAGTATCGCATACGGTCTTCCAGTCCCTCCTCTCGAATGATTTGAAGGATTTTTTCCTGGTCTCCACCGGCTTCTCTGTAGATCCGTAGATACTCCTTCACCGTACCCTGCGAACTGCCCTCGCCATCAAAATTGTCCGAGAGAGTCCGTTCGCCAAATCTTTGCTCGGCTGGACCATCCTGGAACTTATTGCTCTGCTCCGCGAGCCCTGTATTGCGCGCAATTGACTCGGTGCGACCGCGGTCTTCTCCTTGGCCTTCCTGTCTACTATTAGTATCGAATCGTTGCGTTCGCCGCCGGAATTCGGCAATAGGTCTATGGCGAGGATTCTGTATATCGACAATATCTTGCAGATGACCTGCTCGATCAGGACCCAAGTCATCCGTATCATTTTCAGCTATCGGGCCATCCCGTTCTGCAGTAGAGTCATCATCAGAGTCCATGTCCTCGTCGTCATCTGGACCCAAGTTGCGTGGTGCTAGATTGTTCATGGGTCCGGGTGGTGGAGGGGCCTCGTTTTCCGCCGCGGCGAAAGCAGCGCGCATGTTTATTTCAGGCTGCTGCTGCACCACGTAATCTCGAACCAAGATAATCAGGATAAAACATACGATGACTAGCAAAGTTATGATTTGGCCCTCTAGAACAGCGATGATAGTCCGGTTGATGGCGGGATGTCGCGTGAAGTTTTTGAGGACGGTAACCTCACTCAATAAAGATGAGGGGCGATAAGCGGCAGGCGAGATAGAAAACTGATCGACATGTGTTACGTTTAGGAAATCTTTAGTTCCATATATTGACTTGTCTGTGGTAGTAGACAAGCCTAATAGCGTAGTGAGCCAAGTTGGAGGGCTTGTGTTCAAAGGTCTCGAGATAGCTCTCAACAAATTGGATACGGGAATCTGGTCGATAATACCTCCAATACTCGCAGCGGTGGTCGTAGCGGGTAGTAAGGGTGTGGATGCGCATGTAGTCGTGCCCGTGACAGAAAGGGAAGATAGATCGCCTCGACCTATTGAAGTAGCATTCCGAGAATCGAGGATAGGCGGGCTGGGACCGAAACCCTCATCGCTGATCCAGAATAGAAAGGACCAGACAGAACGCATGAGGTAAGGAAGCCAGCCTAACCAGACGCTGGTGACTAGGATGGCTCTCAGCCAGACGAGCACGTTACGGAAGAGATATTTGGTCATATGGGTGACGAAGATGTAGAGGGGTAGCCGCTTGGGCATATTCGGAGAATATAGCTTGGTGAAGCGGAATGCTGTCTTGCAAAGCTCACAATGCTTCTTTTGCGAGTGTGAAAGCCATTCCATCAAGCAATCCTGATGTACGTATTTGATACTTCCGCTGCATTTACAAGGATAAAAGAGAGGCTCGTCGGTGGTGCCCTCTCCTCGGCAAATCCGACAGGTATCAGGATCGATCGAATCGTTAACCGATGGCTTAACTCCCGACATATTGTTTTCCGCCATGGCGTCAGGCTTCGTGACGGATTGCCTCCGTCGCTGGTGGGCGTTGGGGAATTCGGTAAGGTCGGGTAAGAAATCCGGCATCGTAGGCGACAAAATATCGGCTCGAAACCAAGACCAGTCGGTGATAGGTAAATTGCAGCTCTTGCCCAGAGGGCTCTTTTCTTAAGTTTAGACCATGAGATTACGGTATCGTCGCGCGTGGTATGATAGGTCGACGGCAATTGAAAAAAAGAGAAGAAGAATAAAAGAGGAATTTGGATGCTACAAGGTGGTGATGATCGATGCAATCAAATCGCGTGCTAACGGATGGGAGATATGCGATTACCTAATGTGGAAGTTAGGACATTACGGTATATCAAGAGAGAGAAAAAGGAATAAGCAGGCATATAACCTTACCTGGTAGGTAGAGACATAAATGCAAAGTGATTCTTTGTAGATACCTATCTCTATGTTTGCATGTTTCCGTATGTACTTAATAGAGGCTAGATAGGGTAGAGTAGAAGGTAACAAATGTCGATGTACCTAAGTGGAAAGTGGCAATTATTCGGCCAGACTACCTAAAATGTAGTGGAAATGCACGTTAGAGGGGATTTAGGTACATTCTAGCACCAGTCGTCGGAATAGAACAAAGCCGATAGTACATAAAGTCGATTACATAATCCGGTAATAACTACATGTACATTTCACATAGGCAAATACCTACTTAAAAGGTATACATGAAATAAGATCACATAAGAACCCAAATCGTAGAGTACATTAATAAAATCAGTTATGATATTATGTAGTTATAATATAGAAGAAGTCTCTATTACCTTGAATATAAAATAAAACTATGATGTGATATCTAAGACAGTAAAAGAAGTTCGGCTTACTAGTTAATACGACCGATAAAACTGCTTTCACCATGCAATGCAATACCACATTTATTACTACTTATATTAATAACTTGTTTCCATCCCACGTGAAACATATGCAAGTCTATCGATTCCTATCCTGTTTGGATCCCATCATATAGCGTTCCAGCAATGCGGGTTCGTTAAGCTACCTAGTGGATCTTATAGTATAACTATAACTAATGGACATTGCTGGGTATGCTTGAACAAATCCTATATTTATAGAAATATATGATAGGTGTTTACTCAACAGTCATTTAATAGTCAGTTGTTTATATATTAGGCATAAACATTAGTATAATTCTGAAGATATATTTTGTAGGGGCATATCATCTCTCCTACACTGCTTAGCTGTAGACGCCATAGTCAGATGACGTCTACAGAATAACTATAGCATACACTAAAAGACAAGTTGGCAAAGCCCAGTTCCTGAGATGAAGGGTTGGTCGCAACAACAAGCGTCATAGGTGATAAGGCAATGGAAAAGTATCCTGCTTTCCGATATCTTACTTTCTTATAGCCTTCAAAGGCCTGATCAACCACTAGCATATTTTTTCAATTGTCATATAATATTAATTGTTACTTATACCATGATTATATTTATTGCTATATCTATGTACATATTAATATTAGTACGACCATCCAATTCTCCAATCTTCAATCCCCAATCCAACCCCTCGTGTTTATCTTTGAGGTTGTATACAAAGTACCGTTGTCATGTGCAATCAATACCTAACAAAACGTAGTGCACTACGATAGTGCAGGTTGCATATTTCGTCATAGCTCCTGTGGGTTCATCAGCTGGGTGCGCACTAAATAAATACATATCATATGTATTATGTACCTAGGTACCTACTATATACATACATGTATCATTCACTTTTTCACCGTCCTTGAATTCTTCTATTTGTTCATCATATCTTCGTATATTGATATCATCAAAACTGACCTTTACATTATCCCCTTTTCTTTTCTCTTCTTTTTTTTTTTGGTGAGGAAAGAAGAAAACAGGAAACAAAGACGATAACGATTTCTCGAACCTCCATAAACCCCTGCGTCATCCCTGATAATCCCTGATAATCCTTGATCATCTCTTTTTTGTTACAGCAAGTTAAAACGCCAGCCTTAGCTTCGCGGCCGTCACACGCCATCATCAAAGCTTCTAAAACTTCTGTATCCACTTTCTCCCGCTCTCTTCTAACTCTACTATCCCACAGAATCTGAAATATTATTTTTTTCATTCTCTCTTGTCCTAGACTTCAATCCTCGAGTCGGTCACATACATCTATGTACACACCTTCGAATCTTAAGTCGCCGACTCGATGCTGACCTACAAGTAAAGAGCAATCAATATATTCCTATCCTAGTCGGTTTCACACGACTTATCATCGCGTCTCGGGGACATCCCATCCGCAATACTAATCTCTATATAAAACTATCAACTATACCTTGATGCGAATAATATTAGTTATTGATACAGCTCACCACTAGGTGCCTTTACTATGGCCGGTGCAACAAACACCAGATCTAAGTCAAGCACGAATGGGTCTCTCAAGGGGCCCAAGGGTGTCAAAAGTGTAAATGGGATCAACGGAATCAATGGGATTAACGGTTTAAATGGACATACTACAACTCCCAGGCGGAGAAATACCAAACAGAAGAAGCGGAGCTTCTTTGCGTGGAGCTTTAACATTATCGCAAGGTAAGATGAAGATTTCACAGAATGACTTCCCTACTTTAAGAACAGGATTTTAAAAATAGGATACTAATTCCCTTTTTTTACCATAGGCTATTAACGTGGTATTCTATCTTTACCCTTCTCTTCCGTTGTCCTTCTACTCTCGACGCCTGTGACGACACAACGCCCAAGATATGTAAACCCTACTTCCAGGTCAAATCGGCCGTAACGCCACATATCACGCCCTATTACGATACTTATGCTGCGCCGTACGTCGATGTTGCCAAGCCATACTACGACACAGTCGACCGTATTGTCATCACTCCTGCGCGCACGTATGCTGTCAAATATGGTGGCCCACGAGTTTCCCAGGCCCGAGCTTTTGGTCAGGTCAAGTGGGAAAAGAGCGTGCAACCTAAGCTAAGCGAGTATCAAGCTATAGCAAAAGTCCAATACGATCAAACAGTAGCGCCTCATGTTGAGAGTATCTCTGCTGTAATATCTCCTTATTATGATATCGCGCGGGTCAATGCTCTACAGACCTACCACGAATTTGTACTCCCGGCCTACGTATTCATGCAGCCTTACGCTGCCCAAGGCTACGATGCTGCTTATTCGTTTACGACTGACACTGCAGTTCCTTCGACTATCTGGGCCTGGAATAAGACTTACACTTTTCTGGACGCCACAATCTGGCCTCATCTACGAGATGTCTACGTCATGAAGGTTGAGCCGCAGCTCGTGCGTATTGGCGAGCGACTAGGGAGATATAATGAAAGAAAGGCCAAGCCGGTGACCGAGGAAGCCAGCTCGTAAGTTCTCGCCACTTCATCAAGTGTCCCTTTCTCGTATAGCTCACTGATGATTAAATAGTTCAATCTTACCCAAATCCACTTTTACAAAGCCGATAGCTTCTTCCATCTCCTCATCTGCTGCTTCGGCTGTCAAAACCATCATCGAACCTGAACACTCGAGCGAAGCGGAATCCTTCGAAGGAGCGCCAGAAGTCAAGATTGAGCAGAAGAAATCGCGCACGTCGGAGGAGACACGCAAGCTAGCCGCCAAGATCGCCGCCGAGGATCTCGAGTTATGGGAAGGCAAGTTTACCACAGCCGCACAAGAAGGTGCCGCTGAAATTGAAGACCGCGTGGATGAGATCTCGGCCCGCATGATCGAAAGGCATGCCAATGGTATGGGTAGGTCTTTAGTGAAGCAACTCGAGGAGACCGCCAGCACCGAATTACAGAGCCTCAAGAAATCCATTGTATCTATCTTGGAAAAGCATGGCAATGATAAAGAAAAGAGAGATGAAGCCCTTTCTGCCGCTGTCCGGGCTGCTGGTCTCAAGATCAAGGACAAAGCTCAAGATATTCGTACCTGGCGTCAGACATACGATCAGGAGACAGAAATTGCGGTTACCAAGGCAGCTCAAGAGCACTACAGTATCCTTCAGAAAACTCGCGATCTTGCACTTCAGAGGATCGGCATGAAATGGGCATGGATGGACGGTATCACCTACAAGGATTGGAAGAAGTATCACGAGCTGAAGGAACGTTTCGATGAGTGGACGGATGACTTCAAGCGCTTGATTACAACGCACCCTGGTCTTACATTAGCGCAATCGACCGGGGCCGAAATCGAGGACGAGGGTATGAGCATTGCGCAAGCTGCCGCTGAGGAATTGAGTCGACTAAAGCAGGTGGCCACGTGGAAGGCTATAGCTGGCGATGCTAGCGATAACTTCGATAGCGAAACTGCTGAGTTGGCAGCAATCTCTGTTGCCCAGAAGGCTGCGCAAAGTGAAGCGTCAGCAGCTCCTCTCGCTGGTGAAAAGATCGATAACGAACAGGCGAACCTTAACAGTCCTGAGACCGTCATAATATCACTTTCCCAAACAGATTCGGAAGACCCTGATACTTCTTCGCTTGCTCCAACGGAGGGCCTCGCCTCTGAACAAACTGAGAGCGCCACTAATTCCGACGAGCCGCTACCGTCATCTGATCCAATTGATGGACCAGAACAAGTTCAGGAAACGATTGTCGAATTACCAGATGAACCAGCCGCACCCGTTGAGCCAGCTACCACTACTACTATTAAACCTGCCCTCTTCGGCGCCGCAGCCCAATCTGTACCTTCACGACAACCTATTCTAGATGATGACATTGTTTCGTCCGCGTCTAGCGCTGCGTCAGTTGTTCAATCAGATATCCCCGCCAGTATCACATCGGCCGCGCAATCAGCATATACTGCTGCCGTCGCCGGAGCTGCTGATCATTATTCACGTGCTATGTCGGCCGTATCCGCGCAGATCCGTGGAGAGCCAAAGCCTATCCATCAAGCGATGCTCAGTTCGGTTTCCAGCGCATATCTGGGTGCAATTGCCACGGCCAACTCGAGGCTCAACGCTGCGATGACAGCTGCATCAGAGGGCATATATGGCACTCCCACCACACAATGGATTCCTAGCATGCCAACCGTGCCATCCGTCGATTGGGAAAGAGTCCAGTCCATCGCACAACACAATTTTGACGACTCTTTGAAATGGGCTTCGGAACAATATGAATCTGCAAAGGTAGCCGTCGGCGCTTCTGAACCAACACCCAGCACGTACCTCGAGGAGGCAGAACAGAAAGCTGAGAAACTTCTCAATCAGGCTAAGCACAACTATTATGCAGGCATAGGTCTGGCACACGCACGTTATTCTGAATTCCTTTCTGCTGCGTCTACAGCCGTGAGCTCTTTAACGGCTACGCCTACGCCAACCAACATTCAGGAGTCTGCCTCGTCCGTCGCAGCAGTAGCCGGTGAATCGGTTGCTTCCGCAGTCTCGGTTGCTAGCGAGAACGCCGAGTCCATAGCGTCGTCTGTCAGCGACTTAGCTTCCGATGCAAACAACTATATAGGGGAAAACTGGGATGCGCTTGTCAGTCGTGTCAGCTCCCAGGTCTACAGCGCTCCTACGCCCACTCCATGGTATGAAAATATACAAGTCGCAGCCGGTGACTTTGCTTCCGCTGCGGGTGACTACGCAGCATCGGCTACGGGCGCGGCAGCGCATCAAGCTTCAACTGTCACAGTATTAGCAGAAGACTACGCTTCTTCGGTCAGTATCGCTGCAGCATCCCAGTACTCGGTGGTCAGCTCTCTCGTTTCCGAACTCGTCGTTGGTAAAGAGCCACCCTTTACCGAATCGGTATATTCGCGCCTCATAGGAGCATACTCAACTGGTGTTGCTTCGGTATCAAGTCTTGCTAGTGTCGCATCCGCGACTGCAGTGAGCGCCGCCAGCGAAGCTAGTGATACGGCTAAGTCCGTCGCCGACGCTGCCGCCGGAAGGGTTGGGGATACAGTTCAGCACATCAAAGACGAGCTATAGAAGCTTGCATCGCGTTTTTCAATGCCCTGTGGTCATCACTTATCTACAACTTGTCCATAAAAGAAATACTATAGTGGTCTTTGGTTGATTTATTTCTTCCCGCTCTTTCGGAACATGGCATATACCCAGAGCATTTGGACGTGTTGACATTTTCCCTCCCATCTATATTGTATTTCCTTTTTTTTCGATGATGCGTTAGCGAAAAGAGTTGAGGTACCCTATGCTATTCACTTATGATCGGTAGCAAACGTGGAGGCTAGGGCGACCTGGACAGGTTTGCAGGCGGATCTATCAGGCTAGCAGTTTTGTGGGGTTAATTTATGAGTACCCCTACGGCTAGGGATGACGATTGGAATGACTTATTCACGAAAACGACGTTGGCGGAGACCTTCGGGAGCAAACTGGGTTCGAGCAACGCATTATGGCAGGCCTGCGCAAGGGGGGGTGGTGGGTATATTTGGGATGTATCAATTACGTGTATGACAACTAGCTAGGGAGAAGTATATTAAAGGTGCTAAAATTATATCATCATAAGCCAATGAGTTAGATATATTCTCCATGGTGACCTCGAAGCTGTGTGCCCCATTCAGACCAAGCTACGTATACAAGTTGCTACCAACCCGATCGTTTATATGTCTAGCACAGGCGGCCTACCTACGAAGATATTGTACGCCCTATATTGGCTCGCAAGTCTTTACATCACAACAATTATGCCATGTGAGTATACAATCATATTCTCCTACTTCAGTATAATTATAAGCTATCGTTATTAGTTCGAAATCTGCTCCAGTTCTGACGCCGCTCAGACGGGATACACAATTTTGCAATGATATAAAGGTAATTAGTACATTCATCATTATAAATATTCGTATGGCGAGAGCCCTGTCCTCTATCATATACAATAGTTACCCTCATCTCTATGGAGACTATTTTAACGTGCGATGTCATTGAGAGTGCCCAACAGGTTGGTTTTCCAAGCGTGCTACAAGAACACATCCGTCCCAGAGCCGCAACAAAGGAATTAGCAAGTAATAAAACAGGCAAATCTCCCTTCACAACGTAAATCGAAATGATGGATGGTAATCACCCATATTATCGACTTCCTCCTTGGGACGGCTTAACCGCGAATCTCTCCTACCGGCGTCACGTCTCCTATTCTCAATAAGCATGCCCACGAAAAGCAGCGTCGCCGAAAGCCCACCCAGCCATGTGATAGCTATGGCAGTGCCATATCCGGTCAGGTAACGCGGAGCCTCCTCCTGGCGGAATATGAGGGCTGCTACGATACCTGCGATGTTACCAAGAGAAACTTGGATAGCGGAGGCGAAGGAGCGCTTCCAATGACCCGCCATATTGTTGGCGAGCCAGGCGAGCGCAATTGGCGTAGACACAAAACCGCCTAGCGATACAAGGAATACGGCGCCGTATTTTGCATCGCTTGATAGACCATCGTGGTGCAACAGCATAGCGTATCCAACTGTCGCGATGATGCAGCCTAAAATAACAAAGCCGTAACGGTGCTTGAATCGATCGGAAAAGTATGCCACGGATATCATGCCTACTGCGGAAACGGCATACACGGGGATGGTATGAACTTGAGCAGCCTGTGCCTCCCAGCCAAACTCGCGCAGAATAGTCGGCATGAAGAATGTGGTAGCGTAGCCCGTAACGCCGATACCCATGTACATCATAGCGCCAGCCCAAATCTTCCAATCGGTTAAGATGCGTCGATACGCGTACGCGTTAAGCGTGTCCATGCGAGCCACCATCCTGGCGCCATCGTCAGCTAGTCGAAGTTCCAGTTGGTGCTTTTCTTCTGGTGTAAGAAAGTGACACTGCTCTGGCCAATCTACGATGAGGAAGACAGATATAATGGCTACGACAGCTGTGGCCGCCCCTTCAATGATGAAAATCCATCTCCAGCCTGCAATGCCGTTATGGCCATCGAGATTCGCAATCGCATATGCGAGCAGCTATATTCATAATTAGCTACCGAAGTTTATCTATCAGTGACTACCGATGTTTAAGTCACTTTTTTTTCCGACTGGGTCGATACAGACTTGCAAAGGCTAGAAAAAAGGAGAAGGATAAACATAACAACAAGTACAAAGATAAAAGAGAAACATCACTTACACCTCCGAAAGCACCTCCAACAACAGTGGAGCAGAAGAAGAAACTTATGCGTGTCTGAAACTCGTGGCGCTTGTAATACATGGAAGTGAGATAAACGATAGCGGGCATAACACCAGCCTCGAATGTTCCGAGAAAGAAGCGCAATACGACAAGCCCTTCGTACGTTGAGACGAACCCCATGCACATGTTGACGATAGCCCAACTCAGCATAAGAAACGGGATATAGTAGTGAGGCCTGAGCTTCCTGAGTACCATGTTGCTAGGAACTTCGAGCAAGATGTAAGGGATGAAGTATACCTATAACAGGTCAGTAAAATTGAAGCGTAAATCAACACACCTAGAAAGTATGACTTACAAAGAGGGCGATGTTAAATTTATTACCGTATAGGTCAAGTTCCTCAGTCATTCCTTGGATGCGAGCGTTACTGATGTTGATGCGATCGAGGAAAGACATCATATAGATGACAAACAGGATAGGCCAGACGTGGAAGTCTATCTTACGGAGTAGACGGCGTTCCGCATGAGCGTCGATCATGCCCGGAGGAAGACCGGCCAGTTCAGGGTCGGCATCGACATCGGCGCTATGCGGCGCACATTTCTGGTTGGCCATGATGGTGGTGATGCGAACAAGTTTGGCTTCGTTGGTAAGCTCCTCTTCCGATGCGTTAGACGGCATTTCCGAAAATTTACTAGAAGCTGGTGTGAGTTGGGACTAGAATTAGATTTTCAAAGGAAAGATCGTCCACACGTCTGGGTAGGGTTATTACTGTAAGGAAACAGGTGTAGGAGAAAAGGAAAGACAAATTAGTGACACATGTGAAGATCATAACAGGTGATGATCAACCGAGAGTGCGAAAAGCGAAGAGCAACGGCTAGATATGACAGCTGACAAAAGAAACTAATAAATAAAAATAAAAAGATTATTCTCACTAGTCTCCCCATACAGGAGAAATTCGAACTCACTGCCTTATCGCAATATTGTGTGGTCGGCGACCAATGATTTCTTTTTCGACGTTGCTTCTAGGAGGTAGCTTAGGTTACAAAAAGTTACCTCCTATTAGTTACATGTCTATCTTCAATACATCGAATACATTCATATCAGCTCGGGCAGATTACGCATCCACGGTAGATCATGTAGGCAGATCTAACTAAGTTCGTTCTTCTCGCCTCTCGGCGGCTTTTTCTTAAGAGATTCAGACTGCGAGACATTTCGTCTCATGGTAACCACCTGTTCCTAGACATTGCCGCGACACAGGAACGACCGCGCCCCCGGCAATTAGCTCTGGCGTAAATGGATATCACTCACCACTGCCAAGGCTCGGAATGTAGAAAAGCTTAGCCCTCTGGTAATAACCTCGTAGAGCTATGGCATCCCTTTAGAATAACTGTTTATATGCCTAATTCATTTCGCCAATCTTGGAATTCCGGGGCACTGTCGGCAAGCGGTTAATACCCATTGATGGGTGAAACGCGGATAGACTTATTCCAGAATTATCGAGCTGTAGCCTACACGTGGGGGAACAAGGTATGCATAATAGCAAGCGGAGATAGATATAATTTGGCGTGGGGTGATGATGCATATTCATATGCATGTGACTTGGTAAATGTGTTATGAGGTAGTCTGTGTGGTTTGAGAGGAGATGACCATCGTAATACGACATTGGGTACCATAAACACAATGTAATACATTAGATTTGTGATACTGCAGATGTAATGTCGTACTGAGAGCTAATGGACTCTTGCATATAATGTAAATGTGCATATGCCTATATAGAATTATCTGGGGTAACAGTTGACCATCCCTTTTTTACTTCTCCCTTTTTTTTTTAAAAAAAAAAGAAAAGAAAAGAAAAGAAATCTTTCTATCCCAAAGTACTAGTAATTGCGGAATAACAGATACATTACCACTATTCATTACTTGACAACATTGCCTTATACTCTAAGGTATTCAAGCGACTTCATCTGTCAAACTAACCATAACTAACAAACTTGCCCGACAGATGGGATTTGGCTTACAGAAATCGCAACTGAGAAGTAAAAGCATATCCACAATCCAGGGCACACCCAGGGCATATGCAGGGCATCTCAGACATGAGTCGACCTGGCGATAATATGCGTGAAACCATCGCCTGCGCTTGCGAGATTTTGTCTCACATTGCCGGCCTTGTCTTACCAATAGCCGCACCTGACAGCTCGCCACACGGCATACTATCAACGAACAATAGTAGTCAACTTTCCCTTGCTAGTTATCCGGAATTGCCTTAATCTGAGATCTAGTGTACCCGTTACGTCTTCTCGGTTGTGCTCAATAATCACAACGCTAAGGTAGCAAAGCAATGTAGCAAAGCAAGTGGGCAGCCGAGATAGCCGTATACACAAACGTGATAGATGATACACACGATATGGCTACTATTCGGGATAGCAAATAAGGTAAGTTAGATATAGAGAAGAGATATAGAGGTAGTTATATAAGTCAGTTATGATAGTTAGCATAATTATCAAAGTTTGCCGGTTCTCAGTTTGCCTTGACGTCGGTTAACAATACCCGTGTGTATTACATGCGAAATAACTAGGTACCTAACCTACATGTAAGTGGTGCTATGTTCCACTGTCTTCCAAGTTATGACTGTCTTGGGTAACAGACTAAATACATACCTTAGGTAGGTAGGTTAAGTTACATGTTATTTTATGTAGGAGGTAGGCAGTTAAGGCATATGGAAAGGGAGGAAATGATTCGGTATCAAAATATGCGGCTGTTACCTCATTTTCTGTCTCATCTGAGATCTTCATTGTGGCTGCTAGTCTTGAACACATCCTTACCCATGGCGCAGAAGCCTTGGAAGCGACCAAGGGCAAGTGATTGTACCTGCTTAATGTCTATCACAGTAAAGTCTATTGCCAAATTCTATTTCTATAAGGTACACCTCTCCCAGGGAAGGAACTATATACGATGCGTATAGTGACGTAACACTAACCAATACTTAAGAGTTTACATCCATACGCACATGCACTTTCCTTAACTATATGTACTTAGCTATATCGCAAGTGTACCAAGGTATTCAATTAATCTAAGCCAAGACTTCCAGTTTTATGGTTGCTCTTACAATTTGGGATATGCTACTCTGGAAGGAATAGTCGCCCTGTCATTAGATATAGCAGTCGATATCGCACCATCACATCAACTTCCCGGAAACTCCCAAAAAAAAACACTCAACCACCACCAAGTTCTCAATTCAGACCTCCATCTAATCTTCTAGATTCACACTTCGGAATAGAGGTACACTCTTCTATAGTGTTGTCTACAGCTTATCATGCAATCCAGTCTCTGAGAGGACTTCAAGAAAACTGTCGTCATAAAGAGTTTAGCCACTGAGTTATATTCTGGCAAGATGTCTAACTTCCCAAGAGGCAATCTATCCCCTGGTGATCCTGGTTACTATGATTCCAATTCCGAGATGATATACGTTCCTGTCGGCGTCTTCCTGGCTATCTGTCCCATCATTGTCGGTACCCGAATATGGTCGAGGTTGGGAAACGGAGGACATCTTGGCGCTGATGACTGGACTATTCTAATATCACTTGTAAGTCAAATCCTTAAGGCGTACGTGAAGATCGGTGATGAACAACATGTACTGATGATTTTACCTAAGGGGTTCGCCCTGGCTTCGAGCGGAATCATGCTTTTGGCCTGTCATTACGGTTATGGAAGACATACTTACAGTTTGTCCGGTCCTGATAAATACCAAGCTTTTAAGGTGCGTTCTCAGATACTTGTGATCGATCTACTCCCTAGGTTAGGTAGGTATCCTTGCGTGGACTAAAATCACTAATTGGATACCCTCCGGATGTAGTACTTCTACCTCTGCCAGGTGACTTACAAAACCTGTATCAACCTAACAAAGGCGTCAATCCTTCTACTCTACCTGAGAATCTTTAGCAATACCAAGTGGTTTAGGTGTGCGTGCCGCTTTATGCTACTGATTGTGATCATGTACTGCATCGCATCGGTTACGGCGACGATATTCCAATGCACCCCGATTACCAAGGCGTTCGACAAGTCTATAAAGGGCACCTGTATAGACAATGGAAAGTTCTGGTACGCCAACTCTGGCTTCTCAATCGCGACCGATATCATCATTCTTACTCTCCCTATGACTCTCGTCTACGCATTGCAGATACCTAGAGTCCAAAAAGCTGCCTTGATGATCGTCTTTGCTCTCGGTGTATTGTAAGTAGCCTGTAGCATTTCTTAATATCAATTTACTAACGCTAGGCAACAGCGTGGTTATCACTTCTTGTCTAAGAGTGACAACCATAGATATGCAAGCAAGGACACCAGACCCAACTTACGACATTGCCTCTACCATGTGGACCATCATCGAGATGAACGTAGCGCTCGTGTGTGCTTGTCTTCCGCAGATCCGTCCCCTGATTATCAAGTGGTTCCCAAAATTGATGCCTACCTACTACTCCAATTCTCGTGATAATTCGGACAAACGCGCCGCTTACACTAGCAGTGGCTTGCCAAAGTCCTATCCGAGTAGCAGCGAGAGTCACTCCAAGTCGGAAGAGGATAAATGGGCGCGCATCAACAACGGTAAAATTGGATACGAGGGCGCCAATCTAGCCAATTTTCGTAGGGCCGATTCCAGCTCAGAAGAGTATACGCTACACGAGGAAAAGGGACTTCAAATACAGAAGACTGTACAGTACACCGTCGAGTACTCGCCGGATGGTAAGCGCGACCCGTATATTGGATCGATGATATGAAGTGCAGAGGAAAATATGTTACACAGCTTACTATTACGGAAAGCTGCTTGATGGAGAGACGATCGCGTTTCGTATGATTTTGGGAAACTTAGAGAGTACCGATAATTACATCATATTCCCTTTAGATGCGCCAGCTTCTGTCGCTGTTTGGTCTCTAAACCGCCCAAAATACCTGTAACTACCTAGCTTATTTTCAAGAAGCTATGGAGAATACTAATGTTTCTACCATGCGAATAGAACTTGGGAGATAAATAACAATCAACTAATCGAACAAAGACGCAAAGACTATGAGTAAATTCTTTTTTAAAAAAATACCTAATGTACGTTGGTTTGAATTACGAATATTACGTAGACGTCCTCGGATCTCGCCGACTCTTATTCGCACAGTCATAGTAAGATTTCCACCAGTTAATATGATTAGAAACTAAAATATTCCTGCAATAGGGCTGATCAATGGCATTCATTATGTACCACGCAATTAAGACGTCATCAAGGGTGTCGATATAAAAAATAAAAAATAAAAAATAAAAACACTTTATAATTCGTGTTACAACCTACAACAATGGAATTAGTTGCCGACGGATTCGCCTTATTTGGAATAATTTTTGGGATATGTTCCGCCCGGAGTGTTTCTACTGTCTTCACACTGCCTCCTGAGTACACCATATGGATTCGGATTGGGTCGTAGCGGACCATTTAGATTAAAGCGACGGCCGACAGTTGATTATATTTACGAACAAATAATATCAACGATTTTCCTATCCGACAGAAGGATCGAGATCAACCATAGTACGACACGGTGTTATTCATACTCAGCTAACATGAATTTTGATTGCAGAATTTGAGGTTTCGGTTGAATTGACCAAGTTGATATAAAATCAGCTTATTGTTTGAGCCCATCAGCGCGAGGATTGAAGCTGCGATCTGTGTAAGCGTGGTTTGATATCGCCGAGTCAAGTCAAGTCGGGACGTACTAAGTGCGATGATTCTCAAGATAGCGATAACATATTCCTAGGAGGCCTAAAAAATCATTACGCATACGGCTACGAGATGACGCACGCGACTTGGCTTTTTTTTTGGCTTTTTTTGGCTTTGACGTCGATAATCGCCAATTTAGTCAATGAGAAGAATTAGGAAGTAAGATGTAAGAAGAAGAAAAAGAAAAAAGAAGAGACCGTAAAATAAGAAGATGAAAGGTCGTTCGACTAAGACGGCGGTCCCCACGATACCCCCACCGAAATAACTGAAATAGGTAAAAGGAGAGTTGCATCACAGAAGCGCTTGGCGCTAGAACCAATGAAATGCGCTAATGGTGAAGAAGGTCAAAAACGATATTCGGAGATTGTCCAATCATGGAACGACCCGAGCAATTATAGCGATTTGGCTAATAAGAATGAGATTGAGGCTGATGGGGCTTGTGCTGAGGCTAACCCACGGACAGGTAACAATACGAAGGAACCCCATAAACGGTTAAACGGTTATGGATTAGCCTCGTCGATTGGCGTATAACCATTCCAGATTGGCCTTAGAACGATCATCTAAGCGCGAGGCCTCATTCAGTTGGTACCAGCTTTGACGCTTTGTTTTTAGCTTGTGCCGTCGACTAAATCCAAAAGAAGAAAAGGGCTTTTATTTTAGCCGAGTAAATAATACTAATTATCTAATTATACCTTCTAATTATACTAATTAATAAGTCCGGTACGGGGAACGGGGGGGAACGAGAAAATACAAAAATAAAAAAAAATACGAATTACCTCGTGACGTCAATTTTTTTTCTTCTATTCTTCTTTTCTTTTTCTTTTTCTTTTTCTTTTACATAATCCTTAGTGGTTCGTTCTTAAGGTTACAAGGTTACAAGGGTTGGGAAGATGATGCTATTGTAATAATCCCCAAGCGACATGCTTCAAGACCCGACCCAAGCTACCAAGCTGCCAGGACACAGACCCAAGGTTAAGGATTATAAAGTTCTTAGACGATTATGTACGATTCAGGTCTGCTAGGGTTCATGCAGGCTATACGGGGAATAGTCTCGTTCCCCGGTCCGTCTAGTTGGTGATCTAGCGACAGGGTTATGCACGGTTCACGGGACTTGTTCGAGTCTGGATCTTCGGCCTCGTTGCGTTCCCGCCACGTAGCCGCATATATCCCCTTGTCCCACTATCCGAGCAGAACACCGGCCGAGAGCAACTACTCGTCAAAAATGACCAGCCCAAATTTAGACACGAAATGGTTGAGTCCTAGTCCTATGCATACCCGTTACGAGCTTCAATTTGAAACTTCAACAGTCGACGAGTCGGATGCCCATCAAGCCCATCTATCAAATACCCAGAACCCGGGATAACCCCAAAGTAGAACCGAATCTCCATGGGTTCCATAGCAAGTCAATACCCTATCCACTCTGCATAACCTCGTGTTGGCATATCTTGACCTTGCTATGTAGTATCAACCTGTCCCACGCTAGAATCGCGCTCGGCGCGTGTACGGTGAAGCAACTCCCGCCTTGGACATTTACTCTATCACGAACTCCGGTGGGGGGGACTCGATGATGTCAAGCCCTAGCCAAGGGCACTTACGTATCGAGAATTTACGGGTGGTGCTAGTATAGCAGCATAACGACCAAGATGATTAAGACGAAAAGTAAACATCCGAGATGTATGTATTACCAGGTTGCTGGGTCAGCCTTACTATGGCTTGCATGCTGCACGGTAAGCTTCCCGATAATTATCAGCCTCATTCAGGACCGCGTTCAAAGACGTCACGGTCGAAGTTTGCGTCAGCTTACCTTTTAAAGGAAGCCAGCTACCGAAGAAGCTGAAACGTGGGTGAAGATATGAGTAACTCTTTAGCGGAATCTATGGCGATCGGGAGATCTGGGATGCGATGCCTGTCTCGGAGAATACATATACCAACCTTGCAATAGCCTATTCGCGGTATGGGTATCTATCTTTCCCCTGACTAGCCCTCCCCGTGTGCCCCTCTCCCTCTCGTGAACTTATCAACCTCGTCGCTATCCATAGGAGCTTCCCCATTCGTCACAGGTGTGCTTTCGATTACCGCGGGTCAGCAGTGACTCTTGATACATTGCCGTCTGATTCACCTTATGGCGTGTGAATCATTCCCGTGAAGGATACTACGAACTGGATAACTGTACTCGCTACGAAGCAGGTACCAGGCACCAGGCATCAGTTCGCCTATCTCCCGGCAATGGTCGTGCGGCATGGGATGATCGAACTCCTATATCTATCACCGGACTCTACGCCATCGATGATCAAGTTGAAAGCCCTCATTCTATATCATCTAGGACAGCCCTCTCTGAGCCTCCCTTCTTTATATAGTCTCGTTCGGCAGAAATCTTCCCCTCTTAATCATATAATAGTTATAATATCCCGTGCCGCTAACCGTTCGACGCCATGCCCCAATTCATATTCGTCGAGCTTCCTAGCTTCCGTATCAAGAACGCCAGTGGACATACAGTACGCCTGAACTATGCACAACTGGGTTTAATAGGTGCTCTGTACCAATTCGTGCGCAGCGGCCTCCGCACTAGCGACCAGGTCGACTTGTCGGCATCTCTACTCTTTGCGGACGGAGAAGCAGATCTTTGGACGGCGATGGCGGGAACGGGGGACGGCGGACACAATCCGCACGCCGAGGAAAACATGCTACTATCGTATTTTCAAGCATTTGACTCCCCGGGATCGTATCCAATTGTTGACGCTATGCTTCTAAGGCGTGGCGAGCCTTGCAGTAACTGCGCCGGATATTTTACCCTAGGCGGCAAGCATCTACGACCGATCGACGGAACACCGACATTCCGGGCTAAGTTCACGGCCCGGTCCGACCGCTCATATACCCCAGTCTTCCATCTGGCACGTGGACTTGATGCCGCTCAGCGGACTACCCTATGGGCCCAACTAGCGCGGATGCGGACGGACGAGCCCGGAGTTATCATCGCCTCTAGTGCTGACGTCCCGGTCGGTCAGGCTTATTATCTGCTCCACGACTCCCCTTGGTACGCTATCAATGGCCAAGAGAGCATGACAGATGCGCAAATCGCAGAAGCGATTGCGAGACAGGGGGTCCTCCCGACTTATTGGATTGGGAGGTGAACGGCATAATACGAAGTAAGTAGCTACCTCATACCAGGTATTTAACCCTGAACATAACATAGTTGAAAGAAGAAGAAAACCCCTTATCATTTAGCTCATCAATACTAACTATGATTTATCATAGAATCCGGTATAATCAAACCCATAAGACTCTAGAGTAGGAATGTATTGATATTGTACAACACGGCGTGGGCTGGTCCCATCGGCAAAAATCATATCAAAGTTTGTCGGCTCGATCATGGGGCGTTTATTGGTTTCATTTATATCAACATAATATCACTTTCGTCTGTAATTTAATTTCATAGCATGATTGCCGGGTAGACAAAATTTCTTTCGCAAAACACATTATATGATAATAGGTATTTAAATATATGAATTTGCTGGTTTTACGTGTTTGTTTTCGTTGCTAAATGCTCCTTTATGGGCTAAGGAATGGTAATATCAAATAATAAGGGGGGAAGGCCACCAGAGTATTTCCCGGTACACATTATTGTGGCTATTATGCTTGAATAGTGTGGAGAGATCAATAATTTCGAAATGCGAAGCAGAATATAGTAAGTACCAAAGGTGTGCTTGTCACTAGGTAGACTCAGTATTCTTGGTGTCTTGTCGTTATAAATGTAACATGAATAATTCACTCAGAAAAAAGCACAGCTCTCTCATTAAGCCTTAAACTTGGCTACATCTGAAAAGAACCGGGTCAATAACACAACCTAATGAATACCTAGATTACGGATGATAAGATAGTTTTGTCGGGATTTTAGATGAGACATCTAGAACACAGAACAGGTTTAGTATATATAGACTTAGGACCTCTCAGAGGGTACCTTGTTACAGTTCCTTGCGGAATAACGAAGTTGCTTCCATGCTATTTGGTTCTATCTCGTGACAAATTCAACAAATATAAGTCCTACAGTATTAAAATAAGAAAATGTGATGGCCAGCGCTGATAGAATGATTATTACTTCTATACTTGATTATAAATAGGTGCCTATCTATATTCGCTTCTGATTCAACTAGGTTAGATGTTTGGTTGAGGTGTATGCCATCCATCCTAAGTCATTTCGGTGGAAACAACCTGAAATAATGATATTGACTGGCTTTCTATCAGACATCATATTTATGTACTTCTAATAATAAGCACCAAGGTAGTTTACAGTTGAATTAAAACGAAACGTCAATATACTGTGGCCCAAATACAGCGTACGAATATATAATCAATTATAATAGTCCGTTGTTAGAGATAACTATCTCATGGTAGTTTAGTCTACGCTAAGACAAGATAACTCGGTTTATTGATAGCAGGAAACTTTATTTTAAGGGGTTGCTATTATATAAATCATACTTCAAGCCCTTACAAAATCCAATTATGGTAGAAGCGGTCTATATATTACAAAGCACTTATAAAAGGTAGTAATAGCCAAGAAGTATAGTATTCCACATGAAAATTGATATGACCTCTAAAGGAAAATCACTTTTAAACGAATGGTAAGTAACTCGAGTTTTTTCACCAATAGTTTAAGAGGTAGTTATGCCCTTAAACTTTTAACTATTTCGCATTCTAATTGTTTATTTCCTACAGTTCAGTCACTGCCTCCCTACGTCTACACAACTCTTCGTCTATAGTTTAGGGGATTAAGGAGAACGTAAATCATAGAGCTACATGATATCTTTTACATACGTGTACTTAAAGTAAATATCTATATTTATAATAATAAAACCGTGGGCATTCAGCGTGCTAAAATATCTAGTAGGTAAAGAGCAAATGTCTTTTTCTTTAATCCTACTCTCTATAGATAGCCTCAGGAATATCATCATAATGACCAAGGCATGAGATCACCAACATGATCTCCTGGAATTAGCGACTCACTCTCCAGTAAATTTGAGCTCATGATAAAACCAGAGTCTTTAAAGAGGACAATATCAAGCGAGTAAGACCATAACTACTCGTCCGATGCTTCCCCAAATTCTCAACACGTCTATCACGACCAGCCGCACATTGTTCTATGCGGTTAGTTGCACAGAACTATGTCGTGCCAAGACAAGCGGTCGACTTCAATATCACCGTGTGTTTGTTCAGTTTAACACGCCATATGATTGTGGCGTCATACTACTGTAAGTGTGCATACCTATACGAACCTACGCTGGGGAGATTGGCTACTCCTCACCTTTGACATCCCCCGCTTCTTGGCCGCTAACAAGGTCGATGATAGCGTTAGCCTTTGCCGCTTTTACCATTCAAATGGCGAAAAGGGGACTATGTGCTATAGATCAGTGGATTGGATAACAGTGACTAAGAAGTATATAGCTTGACTAACTAGTTAGTTACCTACTTATCTACAAGTTGGAGTATTCAACCTTTACAAGACTATTTTTCTGATATGGCCAAAAGCTGCTTGTCACAGAAGGGATGGAGACTGTGTAATATAAATGTGAAGGCACTGTAGATTAAGTTACTAACCTCGCGTACGAACAGGTTATATTTTATCAGTGATAATAGAGGCTAGTCTTGAAATTTAAAGGCAACATGCACAATGTCCAGCTAACACCACCTTTATTAACAACCCTACCTCTAGGGGTAGCGCTGCATCTAGAACGAATGCTTCGCAGATCACCGGTGAGCCAGGATCGATACCAAGGCTGCACATTTGGCTAATATCTAACAGTCCACATGATGTTTTTACAAGGACGCGAAATAAGAAAAGAAATCCGTCTGATTTCAGCCTTTTATGGACCCCGATAATATATTTCCAAGGCGCCTTGATTGCAGACGTCGGACGGCTTGGGGGGCAAGACGGGTTGGCCGAGAGGCGGTTGCATTCCGAGTCTTCCGACCGTCTACCATCAGAACTATCCGCAACCGGACGTCGTATAGAACGTAAACGGCCGTTATGCGATATCTTAACGTGAAGTGGGCTGACCATATCTGTTCCGATGGCGGATGAATCACGGCATTCTCGGCTATTCGACCTTAGGTGGTGGCGCCTCGATTGTCACATACAATAGCATGGCTTAGATGTTCTACCCCTTACTCCAATTCAAGCAAGCAGCTATATAGTTAGGTAACTTGGGTAATTATGCTGGATTGGAGATTATATCGTAATTGAGAAGCCTTACCGTCCTATAAAAGCTTGGAACAAGGAATACTCTATCCTGTCGTGTTCAGTAAGGCCACAGGAAACCGATCATCAGTTTGACCATTGGCTGACATGCCGGTAGACTAGACGAGGATGCTCGTGTTTTGCATATTCGCACATGAACGTATGCTGTACGCAACATACTTGCCGCTACCCCAGACTCATCTGCAACGAAGTTTCGTGTAGGTATCTAATAAGAAGGGGGTACAGGGTTTCCCAACGAAACGATAAGAGATTCCTACATAGTACATACATAGATACAGAATTAGAACATGCGGAGATAGGCTCGTGCGGAAGACGTCGTTGGCGTTAATTGAACTCTTTGGGGTAAGACAAGGTCTGAATCAAGGTCTAGGTTGCCTCTAATTCTTGACCTTGTTCCCGGTCCTGCGGATTCACCGCTGTTTTACTTGCCGTGTACGTACATCGAAAGACCAAATATTTATGTTGCTTCACTTGTAATCGAACCATGGTCAATGATACTTTGATCTGATCTGCATTAGATAAAGGTATATCGTATGATAGAGCATGTCTTATTACATGGAATTGAGTCGTGCAAGACGAGTAATGAATCTAGTTAATTCCGTAAGCCCTGCTTGGCCGCATCCCCCAGATGATCACCTGGTCGCGATCCTCTGCGGAGCATTTTCTCCTAGATAATGTTGGCATTGGTACCTACGCGGTTAGTATTAGAAAGCTCGACAAATCATAGTAATGCATTCCCATCTTGTAAAAGAAGCCGGAGCCGAAAGTAGAAGTGTATCCGGAGACCGTCATACCACTGAAGTTCGCCAAAATGATCTCGGTGTGTCTGCTACATATGTATTGTACGGATTGAATGAGATGAATGAATTGGCGCAGGATACCTACATAGGAGTTTACGAATACCTACCTATATACTGGCTCATCAGCATCGCTTGGTATTTTGCAGACAGACATTCTTCTCAGCAGGTTGGTTGCATCTGACGACTTAAGCACGTTAGACACAACACTGTGCGAGCGACGACGAAGCCATTTTTATTTATGTCGTGACGCCGTCACACAAGATCAGATCTTCTTCTCCAGCTGCGATCAAACGTCATGATTATATGTAAAGTATCACACCGGGTTAATGAGCACGGGGTACGTATCGATATTTTATAAGTTTGATTTAGGTACCCTACCTCTAGGTAATGCAAGTTCAATTCCGGACGCACGGTCATGTCGGATTTGGAGATCGGAGCTTCGCATATCTTTCTCGGAACCAAGCAGTTGGGAAACGCGACAGAACTTCTCCATCTCGTTCCGACCTACCGGTGCCTCTATTCTGGATATCTCGGTTTCCGGACTACCTATTATTAGATTCGCGGTGTTGCTAAGATGTCGAGCAGGCATGGTCCCGGTACGCTTCGGGGCGACTACGTAGTTCCTCGTTAGATAGAAACCGCACGGAGCTTCACGATGTACGTAAGATTAAATTCCGATCAAGCTAGCCCTTATTATTCCCCGCGGGACTGGGTTCGCTTTTCCTAGTATCGCTTATTAGTGTTGAATACTTAAATAAGTTCACCTATTCGGGATGGAACGGATCTTAGCTCGTATTTAATACATACATAGAAAACGAAACCTTAGACACCTGGATCTTGTTACTACTTAATGTTCCTAGATTATCGATCCCCAGCAAAAAGCCCGATGTCGTGTACGACCAAACTAAACGTGCGACGGTTGGACCCATTGTGATATTTTAAGGAGATATGTACCAGGGTAAGGGACGATCAATTTCGTGAGGGTTAGGTTTTTAATAATGTGCTAGAAATTTGAGGTAGTTAGGAAAAAAATAGTTATTCAGTATCTTTCTTGCATACTATTGGGCCTTGACGATAG